AATTCAAGGAAGAAATCCCCGAGATTCCCCTTTCACACACAGACCTGGATTTGACAAGATATATGAATATGTGTTTTATACATGGAAGTAGTTCTACCAATGTATCCTCCTGCTTCGAGATGATAAAGACAGAGGATGAAAATTCACAGTTCTCAGATTACTAGTCCTGCTCTAGTCAACAGGAAGATACAGGAAACATTTCCTGGAAGAAACAGATGTGACTCATCAGTAAAAGATGTCATTCCAGGGGTTTGGAAAAGTCTAAGATTCTTGGAGAAAAATCCATCTCTATATTAAAATAGCTTATACACACACACAAACATACATGTATACACACCTATATTTAGATGGCACACATTCCTGTGAATAGGAATTTAAAGCCATTGTATTTGAGTCAAAAAAATAAATCCAAGGTGACTTTTGGAGAATAGCTGATCATTCATGGACTACTCTTTGTGGTGATTTCTTCTTTAAGAAGCTAGCATGGTAACAACCGTGATCCCCCAGAGAGCACAGCACCTCTCATTTCCTTTAGCAGTTCTCTTCAGAAAAAGCAGAAATAAGCAGCAGTTTGCTCCACCTAGGAACTGGAAAACAGCTTAACAGACTAGCCAGAGAACTTACAAAACTAGAAAAACAAAGCAGCAAAAGGCCTTGGCTCAATGGTATTAATTTCAAACTGCCTGCCTCTCTGAAGTACCTAGTTTTGAATCAGCTTATGAGCTTCGGCCAAGACAAACCTGCAGGTCAGTTGGGGAGTTTTGCTTCAGAACAGCACATTAATACTCCATAAGAAGATGCAAGGCATGTAATGGATGTTTTCTTTATCAGCAACCCTCATCGTTCCCAAACTCTCTTGCTCATTGTTAACAAGTCCTCCTGCCTCGAGTGCATCAGACATGTATGCGCTGCCTTCTACAGTGTTTAGATTTGTAACTGAAAGACCTCAGAGAATGGATCCCCTTCTACAAAAATATGAACCACTTGGAAACACACGAGCTCTGAGGCTGACCTTGTCCCTGTCCTAGCATGCACTGCCTCTTCCAGTGGAAAACTACTACAGCTAACACACCCCTCCTCTCTATAACCTTTTGCTATCTATAGTTTATCTATCTCTCCAGAGACTAAACAAAATCAAAGTTCACAGAGGATGTTCACTAAAAAGGACAGGAGGTATCAAAGGGCTGCCCTGACCAGAGCAATCAATCTCAACAGAAGCAGAATGTTTAGTTAGGAAAGCCCTTGTATTTCTACCACCTTCATATCCTTTTTGTAAGTGTTAGAAAATGAGTCCCGACGCAGACTCAGCTCCTTATACTCACAGCCAGCTTTTCCATGAGTACATCCTTGCTCTTAGACCAAGAGTCAGGCCTAAGACTGGACGATCCCTGCCATTTTTTTTTTGCAGATATCTGTGGAACTGTGTATTTTTTTTCTTGCACCTTTTCCTATATAGAGTAGCTAACAGGGGGTACATGTATATCCTCTCAGAACAGGAGTGAAAAAGAACTGGATACAGTAAAAAACTTAGTCTGGAACTACTACCTCTTCTCTTACTAGATAGGCCGTACGTGGGTGGCATTGTAGTGACAGTAAACCACTAACAGAGTTAGTTACTGTCACACGCTGCTTGCAGTGTGACTCCTCTTAGGGAAATGGCATCTGCAGTAATTCCCAAACTGTTTTTCATGTATAGTACCTGTGTTGACTTCTGTAAGAATTCAGGACAGTAGCAATTTGAATACCCATGGCAGAGAGCTCTCTCAGTTCAGTTAGCAATTCTTTTTGCTAAATATATGAATGAATAGCAGCTTGTACTACCCCTTTGACATCTCTATATTGCTGCTGATGACCATGTTTTTTTTCAAGGTGCCTTTAGGAAGTAACTGTTCAAGGAAGAGCTGTTGGCAGCTACTTCAGAGTTACAAAGTAGTTACAGTGCTGCCTGCTGTAGCTTAATTGAAGAACCCCTGTAGCACCATTCTTCAGTTGAGCACAACAAAACTGGAGAAAATGAAGCATGATTTGCCAGTTTTAGCTCCTGATGAACCTCATGCCACATCTTCCTGGGAACTATGATGAAGATGAGGATACAACACATTCATGCACCTAAGTTTCTCTAAGCTTACAGCTCCATCATTTTAGGAAACTCTTCAGATCTCTTCTTCACACTCTAAAGAGTGATATTTAGGCGCAATATCAAAATTAGACAAAGCAGCTTAATCAAAGGTTGGCTTGGAATGGCAGCCAATTGTGACTTGTGCAGAGATTTCACTACTACCTTACCTTGCCATTCACATGTGGGAAACACTAACATCACTTAGTATCTCACATCTTTGTCCGGTGAGCTTGGTTGGTTAGACAGGAGAGGTTGGTAACTGATGTTCACCCAGATGACACTGAAATCCTTTTGTACTTTGTCAGGGTTTCTTGGGACAATCTCCACCTGAAAACTTGCTTTGTTCATTTTTATATCTTGCATGATAGCAGAGTATAAGTTCTGGCCAAACAGAGGCCTGCATGAGCAACTTGCCCTATGCTGTGAGACTCCCCACATATTCTAGGCATGTGCAGCTTTAATATCAAATGTGCAACCTAGAAAGGTAAAGACTGTTCTGCCGTGTTGGTCCACAGTTGGTTTAAATGGTCTTCTGGAAGGAGGGGCTTCCTTCCGAGGAGAGCAGTTTGAGTCAGCATGGAGCAGGGAGTGAAGATTGCAGGCCAAATCCTTGTACTGAACAAGAAAACAATGGGAAGTTACATCAAAGCATTTTGATGTTTCCATACTTGAGTCACTGAACTGGTACTGAGCATAATTCAGCGTGAATATACTGCTTGAGGCAAGTGTATTTGATGTATTAGCGCTTTTTACAAGTTCATTCCTCTTTTTCTCCCCTGTAGATCCTTTGGTTCCATTTTTTTAAAACGTTGCTTATTTTCATGAAGCAATTTAATTAAACTAGCAGTTGAAAGGTTAGTATCATTTTGGGCACACAGGGCAGACTGAGATTTTAAGCAGATTTATTCTTTTCATGACCTATCCTTTCAGGACGAGCAGGCACCAACCTGAGGCTGGTGCATCATTCTTAACTGAGAAGATTCTATTAATATTCTACTATTCTAGGCACAAGGAAAATTTCTCATCTCTTCTCATTTTTAACTGTGTAGTAGCTGGAGGTTTATTTGGAAACTACACAATCACAGAAAATTGGGCTCAGAGAGACCTCTTCTTTTGCGCTGAGGCAGCTCATATATCCTCAACTTTTTCTAAGAAAGGTTCATCTAACTTAATTTGAAAACCTCTAATGATGAAGCTTGCACAGTCTCTTTAGGTAATCATTTTCAGTTCTTTGTTATCTGGAGGACAGATGTTTACCCTCAGCTGATTTCAATTAATTATTTTGTGTAGCAAAGCTTGAAAAGGAGACTGAGCACAGGAATATGAGAGACAGAAAGTAGAAGGGATATCCACATCCAGTCCAATTCCCTGTTATAAGCAACCATGTCAAATAAAGTCTTTCCTGCATATGTACTAAGCTCAATATCTAAATTAGTTGGGTGCCCTTAAATGCTCAAACGAAATTCTGACTGAGAATCTCACCCTCCCCTAATTAAGAGCCCTCCTGTAAAGTAGAACTAAGAAATCCAAAGACCTTTACAAAGCCTGCGAGATGAATTCCTGGGTATAAAATGTGCAGACATTACTTTACAAAGTGACAAAAGATAGGTTTGCTAAAAGACATAGCAAGATCTCAAATGTGATAGATCTCTCCTGAAAATTAAAATCTCTTCTGAAATAGATGATGATACTTTTCTTTCCTCAAGACTGTGTCCCAGATCTCATAGAAAAATCCAGCCTCCACAGGAAAGCAACAGATGTTCCTAATTGTGATGAGAACTACACCCAAGAAATGATACAAGGTACGAGTATACAAGACAAAACTGTGACTCTTTTAAAAGAATTCCTAGAAAGCATGGAAGAAGCAAGACAGGCTGTGTGGAAGGAAATCAAAACAAAGAAATCAAGAAAAACTAACACTGAATTCCCTGGAATGGGAGAAGGAAGTTTTTCAGCTGTAGCTCTTGACTTCTGTGATCCCCTAAATATTTAACATGAAGGACAAGAAAAACTGCCAGACGTGGTGGTTCTCATCTTTCTTAATACTGTACTGGCATTTCAGTCTGCATCTGCCAAACCCAATGTATCAATGCCTCCATGCAGATACAAAATAGCATGAGTTACTGCTGTTTAGGTATCTCAATTCCATTCATGATGTACCACTGAATTTATACTCCAAAGAACAAAGACTCACATAATTTTTAAATTATGTGAGGTCAGAATTTTTGTCATTGTCTCACACAGCTGTCAAATCAGTTGGAAGAGCTTGTAGGTTACAATCTTATGCCATAGTAAAACTCTACTAGCAGAATGTCATGGCTTTAAGGACAGGACAATACTTCCAGACAGGACCTCCTGGGGTACTATATACTTTAAATGAAGTCTCAGATTCAGAATGAAAGTAATTCAAACCAGCACTGAACCACAGCCTTCACAGAAGAAACATTTCTTTCCCCAAAGCCTAAAACTCAGTATGAGTCATGCTTGATTAACTACACTTGGGCCAGAAGACTAATCATGGGATGCTATTTCTATTTTATTTTAGGAAAGTAAGAGCATTAGAATAACATTCAGCATGGAAACCGTCTTATAGCCATAACATAGTGTAATTACTATAACATAATAAAAACAAAGAACTAGGAATCTTCTCTACTAACAGGTTTTGCTTTTTTTTGTTTGTTTGTTTGTTGTTATGTGTCTACTCTCCAGTGAAAATAAGTTTTTAAACACATGTGAGACTCCAATCCAGACAGCAACTGTCCAGCTCAGTTATTGGTGGGGTGACAGATCAGAAATTTTCACCTCCTCCTTCTCCTCACAGCTGCCCCACACACATGCACACACACACAGAGGCTGGGAAGCTCCATACTAGAGCACCTACCTTGGGTTTGAAGGCGATTAATTTCAGAACCATCTCAACAGTGAAGAGGCCGGTGAAGAGCATGTTGAGGATATTCATGGCTTCCTTGAACATGCAGCTCTGACCGTAGTGCTGAAAAACAGGGATCCCAGCATCAGTGTGAAGAATAATTCACGTACCAGCTAGGTATGATTCCACCACACCAGGGCCCACACTGATCTTCCTCGATGCCAAGATTCTTCAAAGAAAATTCCAGTATACACCATTTTTTTTGTTTATAATTCCTATCTCCCTTCCCACTCCAGAATTTTCATACTTCTAGTCATTTCTTTCATTGGGGTCTGGATCATTTCTCTTTTTTTTTTTAAAAAAAAAAAAGAAGTATTTTTGAGTGGGGAGGTAACTTACACTTACCATTCCAGTTGAGGCCTCATTATACATTTGCGTAATGGTACAAGACAATCTCCAATTGTGCTATCTCGCCCTTCCCTAACACTTAGATTACTTTTTTTTTGTTTGAATGCTACTGCACAGTGAACAGAGGTTTTACTGAACTGTTCATAATGATACCAAGCTCTTTCCCAAGTAATTACATTTAATTCAGGATCCTGGAATGTACATGAGCAGATCAAATCATATTTTTCCAATATGCATTATCCCACCTTTGTCAACTCTGAATTACATTTGCAATCATGCTGTCCATTCAGGTAGCTTTATTAAGATCGAATGAAGTTACCTTTGTCTCCCTTGATTAATCGAAATAGTGTCTTCTGCAAATGTTGCCACCTCACTCTTCATTTCCCCTTTTCCAGATCATTATTCTTGGGACTGATTTCCTTGCCTTCTACTTAGATCATCTTCCAGTTCATATAATAAGGCCCTGTTCTGAGTTGCTTAACTTTGCTAAACTTTAACCACCAGAGCTGAATTTTCCTATTCTGAATTGGTTCAAGATAATTTATTTAATCATTTAAATAAATAAATTTAATAATGTGGCTTTTGTGTTTGCTCCAGCCTATTTGCTGTCCCTTATAAAATTTGACACAAATCTGACCAAGTCATATTCCTATGAGAAACCTGTATTTTAAGGTTAAAAGAAAAGCTGGTGTGGGAAGAGAATAGAATGGGTACGCTGGAGAAGAGCGTGGGGAGCAGGACTTGGAGCAGTGATGAAACAGAGACAGAATGAAATGTATTAAACAATGAAATGGAAAGGAAGCGTGGCAGAGAGAAACCGGAAAGGAGGTCCATGGATGATAAACTGCAACTGGGATTCTGCATTGAGAAGGTCTGATTGAAGAGTGGGGATCTGGGACTATCTGGGCCACAGGCTGAGGAAAGGAGTTCAGAGACAGATTGGACCGACTGGGCAAGGAGAAGAGATGGAGTTTAGGGAGGAGAGTGATGGTCAGGCTATTTCTTAAACAGAATGTAAAATAGAACGAGGCTGGAGCTGAGGAGATGGACTTAATAAATGGAGTCTATGACTGACTCCATATGGATGGGGAGATGAGAGAGGTCTTGGGCACAGCCTATTCCTTGGCTGAAAAGAACTTAAACTTTACTTTTTGCAAGCCCATCACTAAGTAAAGATTATGTCTCCTTCTCTTTCACTCTTTTTCTACTCTGCACATGTTAATCTACTACTGGTATTTGCTATTCTGTAGATCCAACAGCAAATGTTTGATCACTAGATTCACATTAGATGCTTGGAAAACCTCACAGTAAGGAAAAAGAAAAGTGCATAAATGTAGCACACAGTAACGTAGCCAGGTGTATCACTAGTGCGGCAAATTAGGCAAACATCTGTCAAGAAATGCTTTATGTGGAGTCTATCCTGCCCTGAGGTGATAAGATATAAAACACAGCCTCTGCAGGTACTTTTTAGCCAGGTTTTTATAGAGTCATATATAATACTGAATAAAAGTGATGCTAGGGATTGCCTGCCTTCTGTCTCCATTTTCCTCATTCATCTTGTTGGCCCATCTATTTGTTCTCTGCTTTTTTTTTTTTTTTTTTTTAATGTGCTAAAGCCCAAAATGTAAACTTTAGTTCTCAAGTAAATTGCTGTTCATGGAATACACCCAGTTTTTAGAGGATACAAGTCAGAACTGGAAATTCACTTGCTCTTAAAGCAGTCACTGAATTAGTCTGTGATATAACTTGGTTTTGTTTTGAAACAGGATAAACAGAACTGTTCAAAGTCTCAGATACTAGTGGGAAGAGGAGAAGAAACAGATTCATGACTCTAACTAAATGTCATCCAGAGTGATCATGGTACAACGTCTTTTATCATGTCCCTCTCCCTCAGTACATGGTGTGAAAATGAAAGGTGGCCTCAACCTTTGTTCTTTCTACATTTTCCCAGCAAGGACTCATAACTCATCTTTTATGATGCTGTCTGTTCGCATACTCACTTGCATGGCCAGGCAGATGGTGTTCAGCAGGATCAGAACGAACATCAGGTATTCAAAATAGGTGGAGTTCACCACGTACCAGACTTTGTACTGGTACTGGTTTTTAGGGATGTACCTCCGCAGCGGCCGGGCCTTCAAGGCATACTCTACACACTGGCGCTGTGAAAGAGGCACAGTAGATTTAAAAATCTTAGACAAATACGTGGTTGGTCAACTGCCTCCAAAAATAAAAGGCAGAAAATTCAGGTTGTTTACTGATATGACAAGAGGAATTTATTTCATATTACACTATGAATACATCTATTCTAACTATTAGAGAGATCCATACGTACTTACTTTGTCTGAACAACATTTTTACATTCATCTGATTAATGTTAGTAAATCTAATGATACAGCACACTTTAAAGTAGATGTTGTTCCCTTTTGAGAATCTTACAGAGATTTTTTTTTTCTTTTCAACCTGATTCCTGAAAGATGGCAGTATAGCCAGCTTGGTGCTTTAATGCTTTAGCTTCTTGGCAGTCCTTACATGGTCCTCTGTGGATGTATTTTCTCTCTTACATGTTTATTGTCAAAGTATTTGTTATCTTTGGTGGCAATGAGTAGTTGTAAATTACCTGGTTTTTGTCCAGCTCACAGTTCTTGTATTCTTGTTCTCCTTGTTCCTGAAATGTGACGATGACGAAACCAACGAAGATGTTCATCATGAAGAAAGCAATTATGATGATGTAGATAATAAAGAAGATGGATATCTCAACCCTGTGATTATAGATGGGTCCCACATCCTCCATGTGGGAATCAATGGACCTATACAGCAACCTGAAAGCAAACAGGAACCCAATGCAGAGAAAATCTGCAAATGTCATGAGGGTGATAAGACTCAGATTTCCTATTTTGCTTCCAATTGTATCATAACGTTTTTCACTTGCAGATGTACAGACTTTCACTGCACATTATACTTTATATAATTGAACTGCTTTGGAGGTAAAGTATATTCATTGTTGAAAAATTAAAAAATTAGAACAGATACATTCCTTCAATTAACAGGAAACAGGAGAGTCTGCATTGCTGGGAACTGAGTTCTGTGAGAGAAGGAGATTTCAGTGCTTTTAATAATTACTACTTATGCAGTTTGCATAATCTAGTAATACACCTGTGCACCCATGTCACACTAATGACATGCAGCAGTGGAGGTCCTTGGCCCCTATGGTACAGACAGCGTAGTCTGGTTAATGTCTGTCCATACTGCAAAAGCAGCACTGGTGCATTTCATACTCCATGAGGAAACTTGCAACATCTAGTACTACTACTAAGTAAGTATTAATAGCAGCATTAGTACCTACTATAACAAATATTGTTATCAGTGCCTAACTACTGGAAATTGTTTCTTAACACCTAGAGAGGTGATGTATACTATCGACAAATATAGGAACGGGAATTTCTCCAATCTCTTGGGATTTTTTTTAGGAATTGCTATCTTTAATATTCTAGACTTTTTAAAATACTCTGCACTTGAATTTCTTCTTTAGAAATGAATGAGGACATTGCCAGCATTGCACCCCAGCCCCTGGGGCTCAAGAAGTACTCACTCTGGCCATCCCTCAAAGGTGGAGACAGTGAAGAGGGCCATCATGGCAGTCAAGACGTTGTCAAAGTCAAACTTGCTGTTCTCCCAGCTTCGGGGCTGAATCATCGGCTGGTTAACCTCACCATCCTTGTATGTAATGTAGTACCCCCTATGGTTGTAGAACAGCCAAAAACATGGGACAATTGCACTTGCAGTACCAGGCACTGAGAGCAGGCTGCCAGTAAAAGGGGCTACCTCACGGACCTCAAAAGGTCAGACTCACCTGCATTCTGCTGCTGTCTGCTTGGAGCTATCAGTGCAACTGTACAGTTTGCCCTTGGAAAAGAAGAAAGAAGAATGAAGCTTCCTTTCCTGGAAGGACTTTCCTTTCATTCCTTGAACTACACAAGGGTTAGTGCAGGTCATGTAGCAAGGAGACTGAATACACTACTTGCTTAACTAACTGCGAGTATCTTTACATGTTCTTTTGGACACAGAGGTGAGCACATGGATTGAAAGTTGCCTGGGCTAGGTAATCCAGAGCATGGGCTTTCACCTGCCTTCACAGAAATTTTCTGTGTATGTCCTAGTGTATGTACACTGAGTGCCTGCAGAATACTAGTTTTCAGTAGGGTGATAAAGGGCAAAGAAATAGAAGTAGATTGTAACAAGTGAATAAAGAACCTCCGGTGATCACCTAGCACAGCCTTTCCCCTCTACAATGAGGGGTAACAGAGCCTGCAAGACCAAATCCTTTAGAACAGTCCCATTCACCTCCCTGGCACAGAGCTCATGCCACAAACTATTTGAGAAAGAAAGTGGCCAATTTAACTGTCGGTTTTCTGTAATTATAGATAAAACGCAGAAATTCTGCATGTGCCTCATCCAGTTTTGGAGAATTAGTAGCAGGAGCTACTAATAATGATAGTACCAGATAATTTTTTTCTTTTATATAAGGGAAGACTCTATATCCCCTTCCACAGGGACCTTCATGCTATTCTTCCCACCCCAGAAGACAGATCTATATGACGGATAATTAATGAATTCAGTAGTTTTACCTTGAATAACTGAACTCCAATGCAGGCAAACATGAACTGCAGCAAAGTGGTTACAATCACAATGTTACCAATGGTTCGGATGGCAACAAACACACACTGGACCACGTGCTGCAAACGTAAGATAGGAACAAGAGTAACTTGTAGGACTGTTCTGAGGTGCTCTGGCTAGGTAAGAAGACCATGACAATAACAACAAATAAAAGCATTTGATTTAACTATCACCATTAAGTAATCTCAGGAAATAAAACTGACCCGTTACATACTTCGTTGTAGATTGCAGGCAAAAAGGAACAGGAAAACAACAGAGCTCTGATCTTCACTATGTTCAGCAATACCTTACTTGGCTTGGCATTGGCCAGCCCAATGGAGAATTTAGCTAATAGTACAATGATAGAAGTATTTAAGTATGCTTGTGAGCCCATCTGTAACTCTAGAAAATCACAACTGGCCTTATTTGTGATCCTTAAACCAGCCCTTAAATATTGTAAAAGTCCTGGGAGACTTTATAGTTTACAGAATGCATTGGGACTCTTCTAACCTTTAGGCCTTTAGCTCTGTTGATGGCCCTCAGTGGTCTGAGCACTCGCAGAACACGCAGGATCTTCACCACATTGATAGCACTGGACCTGGAAGAAGGTATCAGAAGGTCAGATCTGACATATACAGCAAGATGGCAGGAAGCATGCTGTAAGAGGCAGGCAGTTTTCACCCACTCGTTCTCATCTGAAATCCTGCACAGCCTTATTCTGTTTAGGGTCAGCTCTATGCTACCTGCTACGGCAAGCCAGGGCACTGGCTGATTTGGATAAGAACTCAAACTCATTTGCTTCAAATGCAAATGTTGGTTTTACTAATATAGACTCTTTTTAACTGTTTGCAGTTTACAGCTTAGGGCTCCCAGATGACTGTGGCTGTTTTTAGCTATGAAAAAATAAATATTCTTACTGAATGGTATACCAACAAACATTTCAACCTTATATAAGAAATCCTTTAACATGAGTAAATATATGATTCAGATATTAGCAATGCTAATGGTTTATGTACAAAGGAAGTATATCATCCTTACAATTTAAATAGCTTCTAAAAATGCTGGAGAACTGCTATTCTAGGCATTTTACAAATGTTTGTAATGGGGGCGAGGAAGCCACTCTATGGAGTTTGTTATGTAGGTCTTGCGTCCTGATCTATGCAGGCTCCAGATACATTTGCTTGGTGATTACTATCCCTGTAGTATTAATGAAGGTAATAGTATATAGGCAGTCCTTTTAAGCAGGGCAAGATGCCAAATACTCTGTAGATATTTAACAGAAACTCTGTCAAGTTGAAGTCATCGCACGTAATTTTAAGATTAGACTCAGAGAAGCACTCTGTTGAAATGTTAATATAAGAAAGGCAAGTCCAGGTGACTCCGGCATTTGAAGGTATACCATCCGGCTGGGTTTGATCCTGCAATGTACTGGCCTCCGATCCAGCAAACCAATTAAGAGTATACATAACTTTAGGAATATGGAAACTGTATTAATTGTGCTTAATCTTAAGTTTCTAACAGAACCATCTGCTACAACAAGGCCACAGCTCTCTGCATCTTCTAAAACTGAAACCTTGACTGAGATTTTCTCCATGCTGTATGACATCAGGCCCTCCTACTGATTTTGGGAATTAGCTTCTTTTGATAACATATAAATAGCTTATTCCAAAGCTTCAGTATAAACTTACTAAGCAAATTATAAGATCAATCAATACAAAGTGCATGTGACAGAAGTAGGAGCAATTGACACTGCCACCACTGCTCTGAGGATTCTCAAAAAGCTCTTCAAGTGCTTGGTAATATTTTACTGACCAAGACTCTTGGGGAACAGCAAAATCTTATCATACTGCTTTCCAAAGAAGAAGAAGAGCTCTGAGAGGAAACAGTTAAGTCTCTTAAACTGTCCTGAATTGATGCACTAACTCAGATCATGGCACTGAGTGTCATGATTACTAATGGACCAGGTTTCCTCCTCTCATTTGCTCTTTCTGGGAGATCTGGGTCACCAGTGGTCAACAGGCTTGTTATTATCTCCCCTCACAAGGATGAATTCTACATCTCCTGAATCATCTGGGAAGAAAACTTTCAGGCTCACAAGAAAAATCCTACCTAGATAAGGCAATGAGACTGAGGTACCATCTCCCATCGCAATGGTACTGTACAGAAATATCAAAACAGTTGAAAATAGCTCACTCACTGGATCCCAAAGGAGATGAGAGAAACGCTGACCACCAACAGGTCCAAGATGTTGAAATAATTCCTGCAGAAGGAGCCTTTATGGAGGAAAGCCCCATAAGCAGTCATCTGTAGGGAAGTATATGAAGACAAAAATACACTTTGCCATTAGTATCTTTTCAGAAACCAAGCCTAACTGGTTGTCTTCAGAAAGTACGTTTGGGGAGGGGTAGTATTTCTAACATAGCAGACAATTACCCCCAGATCCCAAAGATGATGAAAAAGAAAGAGTGAAGAAGACAGCAGAATAACTATGAGACAACTAACTAGGGAAAGCCAATGTTAGATTAAGTGAGGAAAAAGATGCTCATATGGTCACTCTGGTCCTTTTCTCTCTGCACTTCCAGTGTCTAGGATATATACCTATGTATCTAGAATACATATATATATATATATAATAATCACAATCAGCAAAGCAGCATAATGACTGCTTAAAAAAGTTACTCTTTGCAATTATATGGTTTTCCCTTTATCTTCAGTGGTAGAGGACACTCGGGTGCATTGTATTATATAAAGGCCTCCTTGCCTAAACTGAAAAAAAAATATAAGATAAAAAGGACTCTTCTGTGAAGTTTTTAGAGTTTAAACTAGCTGTAGTGGACAGCTGAGCTTTCTTTCCTCTGAGCAAGAAAAAATAAACAACATCCCTCAGGGATTTCATGCTTAGGACTACAGTTTAAGCAACAGGAAGAACTCTTCAGTTTGCTCCTTATAATCAGCTCAATTGTCTTCAATCATGTCTTTCCCCATCCAGTTTCCTCTGTCTTTATTCTATTAAATAAGTGTTTGCATTTTCCCCTTGATTTTTCTTTGCAAAGTCCAAGGTAAGATTCCTTGAGACAAAAAAGCTTCTTTGGGGAGGTAATCATTATGAGCACCACACTCTTAGGGAATGGAAACCAGAGTTTACATTTTCTGCAAGGGACTCTGCCCTGCTGGGTGTGCTCTGCTGAAGGGGATGTCACAGGTCCAAAACTGGATTAAGTAACAATGGAAATGGAAGTGGGTCATAGTTACCATGTCAGGAAAGCCAAGGTCCAGACTTCCAATTTTAGACTGAGCTCTATTTCAAGTTATGAATAAATATGTCTGGCATGTCAGTATCTCAAAGAGGGTGAAGTGATAAGGGTATTTGTACCACCTACCTTGGCCTTGGTGAGTGATCTGATGCAGCTGCTTTGAGCACTCCTCAACCCCAAAATTGCTATATCTTACTCCATTACCTGCATTAGGAACACGGGCTTCTAAATTTGGTCCTCTGCATCTCATCTAAGTTAGGTGCTTAAAATTACTTGAAGCAGACATCATGAGACTGTCCTCAATGACCAGCTCTAGTCAGGCTCTCCCAACCAGAATAATGACCCAGATGTTCAAACTGGAATTCTCTGGCTCCTAACGGCTGGAATGCCCTACCAGCTGGTGGTTTCCAGCCATGTCTGCCTCTGACAACTTCAGTGAGATTCAGTCAGATTACTTTTTTCACCAAACATCCATGACATCAGGGAACCAACTATCCATCAGTCAGACAGAACTTAGAAGGGAAGGAAGTATAAACTCTGGTCCTGGCTTAGAATTTATACTTATAGACACATTTGATTGGGGAAGAGGGGGAGGTTCTTGCCATAACAAAGTTAAGGTTAAAGGGGTTATGTTTTGTATGGCAATCTTGAAAGAAAGGAGACACCATTGAAATCAGGAGGGGAATCTCTGCTGAGTTGATGCTCTATACAACCTGTGGTTCTCTCGTGTATTGAGAAATTTTGTTATATCTTAGGAGAGGTTCTCACAGAATATTATCCTGCCTTCCACCTGGGGCACTGAACAAACTCTTAGAATACTTTACTAGAACTAAATCAAAATTTAAAACTGATTTAAAATTATCTTAAAGGGTATGTTCAGAGCACTGCTAAGGTAGTCACTTTGCTAACATTCATCAGACTCCGTCGTATCTTGCATATGCCATCAGCAACACTGACGGAGATGAAGTTTGTTTCTTCACTGTCTTGAACATCATGCAATCATTTATTCTTCTGCTTATCATTTATACCAATTTTGCTCTTGTGCACAAGGTAAAGCATCAGAGAAATGGGCTCTGAGAAATAAGCCCTTGTGTGGCAGAGACTGGCAGGACAAGAACAGAAGAATTATTTACATGTCTGTAGTCCTTGCAGTCCTCTGTCACTTGGCCCTGGAGAAAATTCAGAGGTGTTGTCACATAGCTATTGAAGTGATGGGGGAAATTTGACAATGATATCAGGGAAGCTCAAAAATAGGTACGAGGCAGTACACTCACGTGATGAAAACAGAATATACCAGTTAATTAGGTTAGGTTCTGCTTCCACTAATAAGAGTATTACATTTTGCTTCAATGGGAGAAGATTTGCTACTGTAATTTCAAAAAGATGGGAAGGTGCCTTGATGTAGAAAGCAAAGCTTTAGACTACAGCTTGCTTTTAAATATTGCTGCTGCTGGGTGCCTTTTTGATAGACCAGTTGGTGCATGCACATTTGGACTGACTGTGGAAGCACGGAGGCACCCTGGATTGAGCAAGACAACAGAATGCATACATCTGTAGGGAGCATTCTGGCTCTGGTGCTCTAAAGTCTTATCAAAAGCACACCTCTCTGCAAAAATACGCAGGGGTGTCCCTGCTTGCCAGCCTCCAATTTGGAGGCTGTTATTAGGGACCTGAGTTGCAAGATCAGAGCAACTCTAAGGGGAATACCTTAGAACCATCTTAGAGAAAAAGATCAAGCTGAAAAGTGAACTCAGAATTTGGAAAGACAGAACTTTGCTAAATCACTCTTATTTAAATTATTAGCCTTATATTTTGGAAAAATTGAAGTTAAGAATAAGCAGACTAGTTTTATTTGCTTCCCAGCTGCATCATTTTCTTGCATGTTTCTTTCAGTACTGAGAATGTTCCTAGGAAATCTTAGCCAGGTGGCTTTGGAATTTTCAATCTCAGCTCTGGTCCTTTGTGTTACAGTCACTTTTACTCTCCATTCCCTTGTCACACCTAAAAAATGAGCTTCTGCACTGAGCTCCCTGGAAGAACCACATCTCCTATACAGCTTTGCACACTACAGTCTTATGCAAGTCACTGGTTCCCTCTGGCCTAGTGTCATGACTTGTGTAGAACTGGTATGTTCTCTTCAGGCTGCAAAATACAGAAAAGGAACTGCATGTGCTCAGGGATCTTTGCACTGAAAACTACCTTATTTTGGAAAAAAACGGCAAGGATGGAGAGAGCAAATTTCTAGGGTGTTGGCCTCTCTCTTGCTCCTCTTTTACTTTTTCTAATCTATCCTTTCATTGTGATTCTCCTAAAGTGCTTTGTGCTGATATTGGCCATTTACTGAAAATGTGAACATCAAAATTTCATGGAAAACTTCTTACATAACTACCAGAAGGATAAAGCCAAATGATAAATAACCCTGCATGTAGAGATAATACTGGTGTTTAAAGAAGAATGAAGAAAAGTGAGAGAAAGTAAGAAAGAGAGAGAAAGAAGAAAGGAAGAAGTGTATTGCTCAGATTGGTTACCTTAAGAATAATTTCTAATGTAAAGATACTAGTGAAGACATAGTCTGCATTGCCTAGGATCTGAAAAATAAGCACAATTGGGTTAGTGGTACTGAGCGTGACCCAGGAACAAACAGGCGTGTGTGTTAGCAACAGATAGTGGCAGAAAACTAGTAAGCTTGTGATCAAGCAATGGTAGAGAAGATGGGCACTTTACCTTCAGAGCAATTTCAATGGTGAAAATGACAGTAAAAACTATATCAAAATAAAAGAGAATCTGTAAAAACAAAAGGGAATAGGAGCGGGGAGGGCATATCAGTGACTGACCACCGGACTGGGAAATCACAATTCAAAATCAAATACACAAACCTCTTAACATGGGGGCAAACGGGAAAATATACAAAATGATTTTGTAATGATGTCCTGTTGAATGCAGTGAGAGTCTTGACACAGGAGACAAGAAGCACATTAAATGATAATCTTTTCTGAGTTATAATCCCATAGGGGCTTTGGAGGTGAAACAAGTCTTTGGTTGTTGTAGGCTTTTTTGCTCTCCCTTTGTTTTTTATTTGTATCTCATAAAGAACAGACAATTCAAGGGTTTTCCCAAACACATTTTCAAATTGATAATACAAGAATGCCTAGTCTCTCAGTGGAAAACATCCAATACCTTTTTATTAAATTCAGGCTTGTTTTGTGACTTTTGCAAAGGAAAAAAAAAACAAATGTTCTAGCTCTCTTTATTTATTTATTATCTCTATCCTGACTTGTCTTGAACTAGGATGAATAACAAATATGCTCTCTGCTAATTGACAGAATCACCACTTTTGTTTTGGACTAAGATTTATGTTCATCCGCTAGAGATGACCAGCTTAGATTTGGCATCTTTCCATTGCCATTCTGGGGAACAGGCAAGATGACAAATTCAGCAGCCCCACGAACTTAGACTCCAGAGTGGACGTAGAAGAGTTATACACAGCAGGCCACAAAAAATGGCCATAGAAGGAACAGCAGGTCTGGAAGTGTAGCCTGACTTTCAAAGAAGCAGCCTTACAGACAGGCTCTTTTACTGTAGACCAATTTACACACCCTAGAAGCAAACAGGAATTTTACTATTGATTAATGGGACCAGAACTGGACTCTTCCCCTTCCCCAAGTATATTAGAATATCCCAAATCCTTTTGTTTTACCTACATTGCAAACAGTGAAAATCAGAAGTATTGTTCCATTGGATTACTATCCTCTTAGCTTAACTAACTATAAACTGAATAATCGCTATAAAGAAGCAGAAGAAACCTGATCATTTATTGAATTTAAGTCTTCTGCTAAAATACTAATAAACATACAGCAGTAAAGTATCCTTTACCACCAGGAAACTATTAAGCATTCCACAGGTTTTAACTGCATCTTGTCCTAATCCAAACTTACAAGTTTACAAAGAGTAGCTGGATTCCTACAGATTGTTATGCCATGGGCAATGGTAGCTATTGCACAATGTAGTGCTATTTTAGATTGTACCATTTAAGCATGACCCAAATCCATTCCAATTTGTACTCACTGAAGATCAAATAGGGACATGCCTCATTTACTGTGTGTAACTCAAAATTCCTCAAATCACTGCTCAATTTTTGTCTTTTGTAGAAGTTGTTCTCAGTCTTTAAGGTTAGTTTGGGCTCTATACATTTTTGCAATTAGAGAATTAAAAAAGGGCCATTTCAAGAATGGTCTGGCCTTAGTTGCACCCGATATTAACTTCTACACATTATTAACTGGAAATGTCTCTGTGGAAATGCCTAGGTCCTGACATTTGGTTATTATATCAGTGGAATAATTTTATAACCAATGGGTCAAATTCTTGGATACTCTCAGACTGTTTTGCATCACTCCACTGACATAAAGCAGCCATAAACTTGATTAAAATTGATGATTAAGATGAGTCTGCAGCTGTTCTACATCACCAGAGCACAGCAAAGCAGCTAGACCATTCCTGGTGAATGTGGCCCCAAAACTGCAGCTAGTAAAGATGTCCTGTTTAGAAGAAATCATGCCTGCTGGAAAAGACCACAGATCAACTGTTCTGGCAATATCAGCAGGCACATTTACTATCATCTAAATAAGTATTTAGTCGAGAATAAATTAAAATGAAAGAGCAACTTGCCAGAGTGCAAACAGGAGAAGATTGTGAGTATATACGATTTTTGTTTTGCTTGGCTTTTGAAACTCTTAATTGGATTGGACAGACACTTCCAAAGACCTGCTGCCCGAGCTCTGTGCAACACAGGAAAGATGCATCTACCAGGTCACTCCAGGAATGAACACTGCTTCTTTCCAAAGCTCTTTGTTAGCCCTTGCTGGAGGGGGATTTCTCCATTTTTGCCTTCCTTCTCTGGGACAGTTTGCATTAACAGCAGAAACTTGTCTGCAAAAGTCCATGTGAATAGATTAATGCTTGATTATATTGTCCCAGAGCAAAGTCAGTTTGTGTGCACCTTTGTTTCCTTCCCACCCAGCCCTCTGAGTGGGCCCAGGGAAGGACACACTCTTAGGGTTCTATGGTCAAGGCGTAAAGGCAGATCACATTTGCAACCCAAACATCTTGTCAGTGTTCCCTTGTTTGATACATTTTAAACATCTGTACCTGCAAAAATTAAACACAGATTTTCATGCAACATCAGTGGAATTAAATAGTCAAAGCAACACTTACACCCAAAGTTCCAGCACTTTATCCAGGACAACTATCTCTGACTTTTTTATTTCTCATTTAAATCTCTCTGTAATCTATTCAGCAGTTTCTGTAGCATGTCATAAGTCCATATGCCAACTAAGATTCATTCTTCAATGCCAAGACTGACATACATTTAGCTCTACATGGTAGGCATACTCTGCTCTGCCCAGGCAGGTCACTGGTGGCACAGGTTTCAATTATTTAGCATCATTTTTCAGGATAAAATGCAAAGCAGCTCTGAGATAAGCTCAGGAATAAACCTCCACTATCACCTTCTCTGCATATGCATATATGGGTCAGGATATTTCAGGGGAGGCAGAACACTGAGCTTTCAATTAAGGTTTTGATATTAAACAATAAATAAATTGGCCCACTGGTCTAGCAAGCTATTTCAGCACTGAAGCAGAAAGATGCCAAAATGCCACTGCAGACAGCAGAGATCAGAAGACCATCTCCAATGCTTCATATTCCAAGAAACAATCATTTTGCTTCAGCCTCTTGTCCTTTCTTTCCCAGCAGATGCTTATGGCAACTAAAAGCCAAATTCTGCCCTGACTCACACACTCTGTAAGCCCAGTGATTTCACATTCACAAAGCCTACAAAAGGCTCAAATCAGGACAGAAAATCACTCCAGAAGCCTCTGATGCAGCCTTTTCTGCCTTTGCTGGCTTTGGCTCATGACCTGCTTATACCACGCTTTTAACACACTGCAAGGGAAGGAGAATGGGAAGCATACTTGGTTCCTAAAGGAGAGGTGTCGGACAGGGTCCTCAGCTGCCAAGGAGATGCTGCTGAGCAAGATGAAAAATAGGATCAGGTTGGTGAAAATGTTATCATTAACGATTCGATGGCAGTGGACACGAAACCTGCAAGAGAGAGGAGAGGCACAACTTTATCTCTCAGAGAAAGGCAAGACATGGGAAACATCCCCCCTTCTCTTCTGCCAGCAGGACTGGACCTGGAGGACTGCTCTGTAGAAGAGCTTTGCTCTGTCCCAGCAGAAGGTAAAATCATGGCCCAGGCAGCTGTGCTTGTCCCTGCTTGGTGTTGGGCTCCCTTGGATCTCCACATCATGAAATGCTGTACAAGGCGTGATTGGCTTCCTGCAAGACTCATGTTTGGTGTGTTGGAAGGCAGAACAACCAGTCTCTCCTGACAGAGTCTAAAACCTGCCATCCTGAAATTGCATCACTTGCTTTCATTCACTGTGAACTAGCTAGGGGAAAGCAGTAGAAACAGACGTTGGAGTGACTGATCTTTCTGAGCTGAGACTGGACTGTCACTGAGCAGGAGGCAAGGGGGATCCATTTGCTACTGGGGTACAAAACCCAGCAAAATGAATGTAAGGCAGGTTGGCTTCTTGAAAGAGCTTCTGGGGGGACAACATCATGCCAAGCAAGGTGTCTGCTGACGTTCAGTCTGATAATAAAGTCACACAGAATCACAGAATCATTGTGGCTGGCAAAGATGTTCAAGATCATCGAGTTCAACTGTAAACTTCTTGCTCTAAGCAGGAAACCAGCATAGGTAAGTAGCAGTTTCCCATCAAATAGCAGCATGCTTACATCATATCCCATCAAATAGAGTATGCTTGACATCATTAAAGCACCTTCTATACCATGTCAGCATATGAAGAGTTAAGCTTTGCAACAGTCCTATGCATAATTCTAGAGGCACTGCATTGGTCTACTCAGCTCTACTTCTGGCTGTTCAGCCTGCAAGCCCCTATTATACCAATTTTACAGATGACTGTAGAGGTTAATTTACTTCTTCAACAAGCAACAGTGGGTGGGTGGCAGAGCTGACATTACAGACCATGAGTTCCAATCATCATCAGTCTCTCTCTGTTACACACATTCCAAAGGAAAAGTGTCAAAAGCCCTACTGTGGAAAGACTAGTTCTAAATTCGACTCTGCTTTACTTTGGGGCTGTACTTGTGGAAGCAAAGACCCCAGAAAGAGGTTGGGACCCATGGTATTCCACAGAGCATTGAGCAATGAGCTTATATTTGCATCCTGGGGTGATAAATAGATTCCCTCTGTGAGCGCTCAACTCTCCACTCAACAGTACTCATCTCACACCCTCAGAATGAGTGGAGAGGTGGGGCAACATGAAGCCACACTGCCTGCAAGAGCCTGAGGGAAGAGCATGAGAGAAGAGATATTCTTTTCAGCCTGCCCTACAAGCTGTAGATTCTCCTCTTCCCTGTTCTTCCCTGTTTCTTCCATACTCATTCTTGAAGGGTAGGAATAAGCAGAGACACAGGAACTGCCTACTGGGAGTAGATTCTGAGCAGTCATTATGACAAGGGACTCTACCTCATGCTCAACTAACTGCCTGATGGCTTGTTTGAATTTGGACCTGTGTATGTTGGAGAATTCCAATTGCTGACTTGCTTCAGAGTCTCTTATTTCCAAAGCTTTCATGATTCTCACTTAGCCTTGCAAAAAGCCTTGCAGGTTCCTTGATCTCCCACTGAACAGGTGTATTGTCAGAGGGCTCCCTACAGTCAGGCTTTCATGGAGATTTCATGCCACGGCCTTTGAAGGAAAGACTGGTAAAAGGAGACCTCAGGTATGAACTGCTGGAAAGGAGCTCCACACCAAAGAACCATTTGGACCCGGGGTTGTAGGGATACCTGTCTCCTCCCGGTTCCAGCAGAGCAGCCTCTTAAATACCTGTTGTTAGGACTGAAGATGAAAAATGCACTGGCATCAGGCATGGGCACAGCCTTTTCCTTAAGGTGCAGCTCCGACATCGGGCGAGGACGAGGGCCAACAGGCATCTCTGGTTCTTCCTCATCTTCCTCTGCTGCAAGAAGCAACGTTATCTTTTAATGAAAAATACAGCCCATTCCAGAGTTCTCAGGTATTTGTCTCAATCAGAACTACAGCTATACACTTAGGATCACTCCAATACAAAGAGGCATGCTCAAGGTTCCTTGTCCACTTCCCTTCTTCAAGGCTGCCCAGCATCCCTCCTGCAGGCATTGATCTAGTCTTTCTGTCTATCTGCAAAACCATCATGCCGGTTAGCTCACAACTTCCTCATAATGGACTCTTCAGATGGTTGAATGTTTCTTCAAAACAAAACAAACAAAAAAAAAAAAAAGCTTCTTCTAAAAAAAGCTTCTTCTAATGACTATCCTTGCTGCAGTCTAAATCTGTTAACTATTGTCTTATTTTCCATGGCTCCTTTCAACAGCCTTTTATATATGTGAGGTATGTTATTATGTCTCTGCTAGGTTTTCTGCTTCCTAGAGTAAAATAAAAGCAGTCTTAAAATGATCACTTTTCAGAATTCAGAGAAGAGAAGAATGAAAGAGCAGGCAACAAAGTTTAGACTTTTGAATCTGATGTCCATGAAGCAGGACTCCAGGCATTGTGCATATCAGTGACTACCCTCAAGGAAGGAAACAGAGATAAGGACTAAGAAGAATACGAATGTACCTTCCACTTTTGTAGATTTCCACCTGCTGAAGTGAGATGCTGCTTTGTAAATGATATGATAGGATCTTGCTATTTTAAGGTTCACAATCCTCTCGACTAATTTGCAAGACAAAAAATATTTTAAGAAGGCAGCCTGACAAATTAGATACAACTCACGAATCTTTCAGCTCAAGTAAATGAGAAAATTTTTGTTGAAGATTTATCTAAACTCAGATAAACTCAAGTCAGATGTTGTGCTTGGCCTGGTAATGGGACACATTAGAAAGAATAGATGAATCAGCATAGACCCTAATCTAGATATTACAGAGAGCAGGAAAGTAGCCTTTTCAATGATGCTCTTATTGCATGCAAATAGGCTTCTCTCTGTACACTTCCAGTAGCGTGAATTCAGCTCAAATTTACTTGATGATAGATTTTCGGATGAAAGTGTGAGCCAGTGCAATGAGGTTGTACTTTTTAAGCAGGTCTGTTTTTTAACAGTTCTATTTTCTTTTCTAAAATACTTTATAATAGTCTTTCTTCAGGCTTTATTGGTTTAAGAAGCATTCTTTCAGAAGCACTTTTGCATACAGTACTTGTAAAATTGGTGTTAATATTAATGCTTAGAATAATATTAATTACAATATTTTGAACTTATATTTTATAGTTACACATTTCAAAGTAGGCTGGCTTTTACCAGCCAGGTAAAGCAGACAAGTACTTTTTTTTTTTCTTCTTTAATGATACAAAATACTAATATCCCTGATCACTTAGGATAGCTGAAAGCCTTCACTTAAAAGACCAGCATTGAGTTCCAGTTCTGTGCCTTTACCACTGGATCATTCTTTATTTTACTCAGAGGAATGCTGAAAAAAAAAACACTTTCAAATGAGCATGGAACAATGCCTCAGAAAAATGGACTCTTAGTAGAAGCATCAGCTCCTGGAAGACCATAAAGTTAATTGTTCCTCTTTTTCCTCTTCTGTTTGCCATGGAGCAAAAAATATATTAACAAATTTGGCCACCATATGGCTTCAGACTGGAAAACATCTTCAGACTCCCAGTCATGGAGAAAAAACGATGTTCTAAATATCTTCTCATTTACAGCAGTGTTTAGGATCCAAAAGACAAGACAAGCTAAGGGACAAATACTCTAAGGGTAACAAATGATTATAGCTTTAGCTCAAGCCACTACCTAAGAAATGTGCCAGTATAAAGTAACAATATCTTGCACAGCTGCCAGTATGCATGCAAGCACAGGTCAATGTTGTACTCACAAATGGGCTGGGTGGCACATCTGCTGCAATCCAACACCTGCTCTCTGAATATATTTTACACCTAAGGTATATCTGTGTTTACAAAGTGATTCTTTTAGTGAAGACTACCCCAGAATCATAAAGAAAAGCTCAGATCTAGAATTGCCAAGATCTGCCAAGTTCAGATCTAGATTTTACCTCTCTTGAAGTTTGAGGAAGTTCAAATCCAGGACTGTCACTTTGAATTTTGTCTCATTAGAAGGCTGGTGTCCTTTGGCTGTAAACTTATAGGCATACACATGAGGCTACAGTGTAACATCAGTTAGAAATTTGATGAGGAGTATTTTTCTCTTTTTATACAAAGACCAGAACTCCTGTGTAAGGGCATTACTTTGCTTCAAGCTCCCATGAATCATCTCAAGTTTTAAGCTTCATCTGACATGCTGGATTCTTGGCCTGTTTCTGTCCGAGACTGCAAGACTTGCTCCCTGTCTTCCTATAATAAACATATCATCATAATAAACCATCTTGTATACACAAATCTCTGGTAGAACTAGTCTCGCCTTCCAACAAAAGGGATAGAGAAACTGATGAGCTGAAAGTATGTGGATGGTTCTGGGGGATAACAGCAGTACTGTCAAATACAGTCCGAAGAGACTGCGGAGAAAACTCTGGCAGAGGAAATGGAAACTAATAGGAGATTGAGTGAAGTAAGTTTGAAGAATAAATGAAAAAAAATGGATGAAGTGACCATTTCTAATTGTTTTAGAACACTGTGTTAGTGTGGAAGTTTTTCAGAGGATGCAATGACACACAGCCAAGTGACCGGCATTTAAGACCTTAAACCATAAAATGAAATTTGGCAGAACCAGCTAACTGCATTTGAGCAGTAATAGGATGCTGCACTCTAAGCACTGCTTAAAGGCATCAACATGAAAGAGGTGAGCAAGAAAAGGTGCTGCCCCAAGTGGACAGAATGTAGTTACATGGCATCTCCTGCAGCACAGCTAGACTGATGAGCGATAAGCAAAAGCACTCTGGAGTGGTCAGATGGACACAAGAAAGTTGATAAAGGGCAGAGGTACACACTGGGCCTAGGAAATTGTTGCTTGGTAATGCCAGAGGAAGCCTTGGAGCCTTGTTCTCCAGAACTGACTATCCTTGACGGAGCCTACATGTCACGTAAGCTCAGAGAAGGCCTTTGTGTTTCAGAACTTTATACAGCAGAATGGAAGGGATTATTATGGTATATCTAATCTAGTAAGGGTTTTATAAAAGTTTACACTATCTGAATGTGATGGTAAATTCCATAAGCTCTGAAAAAAGTTAAGGGCATGAGCTTCTGGCTCTCATTTTCAGCAAATAGCTAACACTTTCAGATGGTTTGAAAAGAAGAAAAGTGAAGGAAAAACAGGAAAACCTTCACTTGAAAAAAAAAAAGTAGGGGATCTGCAAATCAAAACCAGTCAAGAACCAGGACCAAAACTGCCTCAGATTGTTTTAATATGTGCAAGTTACCAAGGACTCCCCCAAACCCTTTAGCAACTGACAATAAGCATCCACTAACTGGCCTGTGCCTGCAGGGATGCTTAGAAGATTAAAGGGAGAGTACTCTCCCCCAGCCAAGATAAAACAGTGCTGCATTGTACTGTAACCACAGCATATTGATGAACACAAGTGTAGGGGAGGTTGTACTGAATAATCAACTGCAACGAACAGTTTTCCTTTCTCCCTGTCTGAAACACCTAAATTATCTAAAAATGAATTATTTATTGTTTTTTTTTTAACCCTACCAGATCAACTATTTAAGGATATTTATTAGGAACCACAGAATCAAAGAGTATCTGATTTATTACCTACTACGGACTGTTGCATAATCACAGAAGCACAGAAAAAGAGAGCAAGAAAGGGTCAAGGAAGGCCCTCTAGTTCACACTTTTGCCAAGCCAGGCTCACCAAATTATTATAGCTAAAGGTTTTCTGGCAGATATTTTTCTCACCTAGTCTTGACAACAGTTAAGTGATGCTGTGCTTCTACAACTATCTTCACAATCTATTCTGGCCTTACCATTAGAAAATTCTCCCCTAGTGTGATCTAGTGTGTTATGTCTCTAATTTGTAAAACAGAAAAAAATATAATTCTCCCTCTATCTGTAACAGACTCCTATGCATTTGAAAAGCTCTCTCTTTGGTCTCCCCTATCTCAAACAAAACCAGTTCTTTCAATCATCGTTCCTGCCTTCCACCTGCATTATGTTCATGACTCTCCTCTAGACTCCTTCTGTTTGAACTCAGCTTCTCCTAAGTGCAGTTCCTCAAATGAGACACTCTAGCTGAGTAGTCCAGCTGTGATTTTCTTAATGGTGATCAGAATAAAAGAACCACTATGCCCTGGGTAGCTTTCACTGGCCTGTTAGAAGTAAACCATAAGCTGATTCAGAGTTCAAGTTTTTCCTGTTCATAAATTTACGACTTGTTCACCTTTTGCAAAATGGCACCATGTTTTTGGCTTGTCGAGTCTGTAATCCATAACAAGATTCTTTTCTTAGGTCTGTCTACTAACTAGCTGCTACCTAAAACCCTTTATTTGTAAATTGTTTCTTCCTGCCTCTCAGGAGAGGCTCATACTTCCAACCTCTCTTAAACCACTTCTGCATTTACTCAAGATCTCCTTGAATTCTAATGCTGCCCTCTGAACATGCTCCCAGCCCCTTCTAGCTACATGCCATCTACAAATATAGCAAGCAGACTTCCTACTCCATCACTCAGGCCATTAACACTGAACCCAGGATGGGTCTTTGCATTGTAGAACCTCACTTGAGCAACTACTCTGCGTATAAACGGTCTAACTGATTTCTCTCCCAGTCATCTAGAACATGTTTTTCTAGCTGGCTTATGAGAATGTTGTAAGAAACAGTCTCACAAGCATTAGCAAAGTTGAAACGTATGACATTTACTTTTCCTTCTCTGTCTACAAATCCCACTGGACCCTTTTAGAAGAAAATTAGAGAGCTTTGACATGATTTGTTCTTGGCAAATCCATGTTGGCTGCTAGTCATTTCCTTATCTTGCAGTCATATAGTTTGTTTAAGCGTTTGTTCCAGCACTTTTCCAAGAATGGAAGTTTCGCTGACTAGCTTATAACTTCTCTGCTCCACCCCTCTTTAAATGATCCAGTCTTCAGAACTTCTCAAAGCAAAACTGCTAGAAGAGATTGCTTCAACTGGCTTTGCAAGATCTTGGGAGGAAGATACTTAGGTCCAACTGATTTGAAAACTAGTCTAACTCCTGCTCTGGCTTCTTTTTTTCCTACTCTAAGCTAGGAGCTTGTGCCTTTTGTATCATATTAATGTCACATCCATAAATTGATAATTTGAGAAAAAGAAAACTCGTGCAAAACAAGGCAGTCAGTACTTTGGCTTTCCTAAGTATTTGTTAAGAGTTTTTGCTGAACACCGAATACTGAAAAAGTACTGAAAAGATTGAAAATATATATAAATCATATAATGTGGGCTTTATAGAGCAAAAAAATGCTGTTAATCAGTTTAAGGACTGAAATGGATGAAGTGCAAACACAGACAAGCACATTACTTTGTCCCATCATGAAGGCAATAAAAGCTCAGCACCCCTGCTGCCTTTGGACTGTGCCAGACAGAGCAATCTGCCTCTGTGTTCATTAGGAACTGGAGCTTCTCTTTCCTGAAACTGGGATAAGAAGAAACAGAAAAATACCTGGTGCTTCTGTCGTGGGATATGGGCTCTTTTCTTCATTTTCATTGGGCTGATAATCATCTACGTTGATCTGACAGAAATGGAAGAAGAAGTGGCAAAGCCTTTATCAGACAAGAAAGAGGGTTTTCATTCCCCCACAAACCCAAGCTGTTCTTGCCATCGCTGCCCAGACAGTGGCTGGCAGCAGACCTTGGTAGCAGGCGGGGACTCTCCATCAGCAGTGATCGATTTCAGCTCTATTTTCTCCTCCTTTGTCTCCTCCTCCACAGCTGCTTTTTCTATCTCCTGTTTCTTTTCAGGACTAGCAGTCCTAACAATTTAACAAGATAAAAAGCAAGCAATTACAAAGGTGAAAAGCTGTTTCCCTTTTAGAAACTTCAGGTACTATAGCACACATTTTGAACCACTCAGCTGGCTGGCATGTCTGACCGGAGCCTAGCCTACATACCAGTGCTTCCACCTTTTAATCATCTGCAAAGAACCTGATCTAATTCTCTGCAGCCTCTTTTTATTCTGTAGCTTTCTCCCTGGCATGTATTTCTTTGTGTGTGCATGTGGGTGGCAGACAGTATGTGCCTGTGTGTTTGTGCACGTGCATATTCTAAACTGGCGACCAGAGATCTTGCCTTCATTCACACAGTTCTACCCAGTGACAAAAGCATGAACTGTCTTCAACCCAGAGATTGTGATCTTCCATTAGGTTGTCCACCAACTTTTCTGGGGTCACAGTTTGCCCCTTGACTCACTCCCAGAGTCATGGGAGTCACCCTGCTGACTGGGGTGCAGGACAAAGCAGAACAATCTCCCTCAAACTGCCTGGAAGGGAGTGAATAGAACTAAGGAGCTGGGGAGCAGGGAGAGGCTTTCCCACTGTTGGCAGCTGGGAAGGAAAGAAGCTCTACACCCAGCTCATGCCTGCAGAAACACCAAGAGACCAGAAAGGAGGAGAACAGCATGTGGCATCAAAGAGAAAAAAAAAAAAGCTGAATCTTGTGTCATGGGACTGTCAATCTGAGAACATGCCTCGTGGTGCAGAGCAATCAGAAGGCAATAGGGAGACTGAAATGGCATTACGATACTGACACTGTTTCATGCTTTTTCTCCACAGACACCCTGAGAACTCATTTGTCACCCCGAGTTCCTTTCTTCTGTGCACATCATCACAACTGTGGGGACTCCCAACTCTGAAGACCTTTGTCCTTTAGTTTCAATTATTTTACTTAAAATATTACATGTAAATAATTATTTATATATGGCACATATATGTATTTTTATATATATCCTCCCAGAGAAGCTATACTTAACACACATGCATAGCCACACATATATATGTGTGCAGAATGTGTGTGTATAACACACGTACACAAATGCATGAATATGAATGTAGATATGTGCATACATATGGGTTTACCTAGCTAGTTTTTTCCTTTCTTTCTCCTCTTCCTCCTCTTTCTGTGCAGATGTTAAACTCTCAGCATCAGCAAGGTTGTCCACAGCAATGGCCAAAAATACATTCAGCAGGATATCTGTGTTCTACTTAAAGAAAACAGGCTTTGAAAACTGCAGAACATTGTTCCAAGGGTGTCTTGATTGAAATTTTTTGCAAGCTGTCATCACATCCCCTGGAATTTCCAAACTTCCAGTTCACACAAATGTTCAAGATGTGCATATCCAGTATGCACAAACCTATACCTTGCATCCAAATGGCTAACACACTGTATAGGGTTTCCAGAATGCTATATCCAAGTCCAGACTTGAACACTTACACTTTAGTTTGCGGTTTCTCAAAAGAGTTTCACTTAGTGCAGCAGATCCCACTGAAGATAAGGGGAACTGTCAATGTTCTGCATCTTTGACAGCTCAGGTCTTTTTTATTAAAGCACCTAAATATATATTCAAGAGCTTTATAATGCTAGCTACCTAGGCTTCCTGGCTTTAGCTTATGCACTCAAGTTGTACAGCCTCATTATAGGCCCTCCCACAGACATGAGTGGATCTAATGGACAGTAAGCATTCCTTCAGGATTTGAAGCACTGAATGGACAAGCATGTAAGCCTACCCCTACTGTCTCCTAACAGACAGCATGCATGGAAGATACATGATCAACCAGGCTTGCATGGGCAGCTGAAGAGCAAGAAACCACAGCTTCTTTCTTGTTTTGCCAATCAATGTTCAGTTTTTGTGTTACAAATCTGAACATCAGCTTCTTCTCCAAATTTATTGAGTGGGTCTTATTATACCCTAATAACTTTGTTACAATAATAAACTCCAGTTAAAGAGTTAGTCTTGAAGCACAATCAACCCGCTCCTTGGGCTCCAAGGTCTAACGGCTTCAGAGCTAGCCAGCATGTGAAACTGGCTCGCATTTTCCTGTGCACTTTACAAGGAGATCCAAATTGTTCCTTTTTTTTCTAAGCTGTCAGGCAGACTGTCTCACTTGACCTTCAGATAAATGGAATTGCACCATCTCACTTTGAAGAGAGGGCATGCAGGTCAACTGAAATGTCAAATAACAGGGTTTGAGAGATCTGAATTATGAGGAAAGGCCAAAAGAGCTGGCTTTATAGAAGAATCAGTATACAAGAAATGTCACCTCTGACTCAGGAGGGCTATTTATTAGGGAAGAAGAAACTACACATGAACAAATCTGGAGCAAACTGAGATATAGAAGAGAACTATAGTCGTATGTTGCACACAAATTCTTATGAAAAGACCCCCAAGGCCAAATCATGCAATGTGCTTTGTACCTCCTGGGATACACACAACGTTGTCACTTCACCTTGAAGCCAGAGAGGTCAAGTTAACTTAACACCAGCTCAGGTTAGTGCACAACAGAGCATGCAACTTTCTCTTTGCACACAAGGATTGCAAAAAGTGAAATGGAACATGGATCCTCTTAGTTTATACATGAGTTAATATATGATCTCGCATAGATCAATTATGTCAAACATATGTTACTCCTATTATAGCATTTGTATATAGCATATTGTGATTATATTTTTGTTCCACATAAGGTTTGGATGAAAGCACATGGAATATATTACTGAAAAGGCAATTAAAGCAAAAATACACAGTAAGTACAGTAGGTAGACATAGAGATTAGTCTTGGGAGAAGGCAGAGGAGAAAAACTCATGGGGGGAATTAAGGGGAATAAAAAATAAAACCACTAAACATGTAAAGTTACTAAATAAAAGCTGGCATGTGGAACTGGCATGTAGCTGGCTCTTACAACTGTTTATGTGCTTGAAGTCTTAGCACTAGCTAAAATTAAACAAACTTGTTTAACTTTTGGCAGTGCAAAGCCAAAATTCAGTCCTCAGGAAAAGGTAAAGATGTAAGGCATGAAATTCATTATTTACTGACATGACAAACTACTAAAGGATGGTTTGAAAATTCAGCCTGAATTGGAGAAAGATAACATCAAAGGATACAATTTCCACAGATGAAGAGGATGATGAAGTAAATACAGACCAACATTCCTGGAAAAGAGGGGCCGCCATAAGCCATGATCCCATCATACATCACCGAATTCCAGTCCTCCCCAGTCAGGATCTAAATGACACATTCCCACCAATAGGGATACAGTGTTAGACCACACACAGAATTTGAACGACCTATTAACACAAAGTTATCTTACTGTCCTACAGATCCCCCCTCCCGCCAGCTGTTGGGGCACTCTGGATGCGCCCCTGTAGAAAATTAAGCAAAAGTGGAGACTGCAAAGTGCGTTTGTGCTGTAAGAACTGGACAGCTCTCCTTGAGAACTGATGCTTGAAACCAAAAAGCTCTGCAAGAGAACTCTGTTCAGGTCTCCCCAGCTCTCCCAGGCATCTCTCCTACGTGTCGGCTGTTTCAGACAGGCTGAGCAAGGCACGGCACTGAGGACAGCACTGAGTGCAGCCTTCCCTGCTACTTCTCCTCACTGTGCAGGTGCAGTCATGGTCCTGATGCTCTTAGCTGAAACCAGCAGTCAGCTTAAAGAGCCTATGATCTGTCTCCTGGTGCTGGGGACACACGTCTGCTCCCCAGTACTGTGTGAATGGAGAGCAGAGCGGGGTTAGGCGACGACAGGCAGGTGCTGCCCTGGAACGTGGCAGTGGTCATTCTGTCATCCTTCCCGTTGAGCACTGGAGGCCTCGCTGCATACGACGACTGCAGGTTTGGTTTCCAATGTTGGGAAGGGGAACCCCTGCTCTGACAGCACAGCATGCTGCCTGTCTATTAATGTTGTTAGCCTAATTTCCAGTCTCAGGCCAAAGGAGCCTGCAGAGCAAGGGTGCAAGACCTGCTTTCTCCCTCTCCCCCAGTGCAAGCACAATGCTTTGGCCCCAGCAGGACTGCTCTTGCCCTTACCTGAAACACTGTGAGGAGGGACTGGGGGAAGTTGTCAAATGTACTCCTTCTGGTCTGCATCTCATCAAAGTTAAACTTGCCCCCAAAGAGTTGCATTCCCAGGAGGGAGAAGATGATAATGAAGAGGAAGAGAAGCAGCAACAGGGATGCAATGGAGCGGACTGAGTTCAGGAGGGAAGCCACGAGGTTACTCAGTGAATTCCAATATCTGGGAGAGAAAAGAGAAGCAGTTAGAATTTCTTCACTCCAAAACAGGTGCTCATGGACTGCAGAGGATATTGGTTCAGACTGCCTTCTGCACAGAAGCAGGCATTTCCAAACACCCTGTTAGGCAGTGAATCATTGATGTGCTTCCCTAAGATAATGAGACCTACTGCAGCTAATGAGTAATTTTACTACCACACATGTACATACAGAGTTCCCTCCACCCCTCACCACATACACACACCCAGAAGATTATTGCAGCACTCTCCATCTAAGGCTCTGCAAATCTTCTATCAATATACGGTGATTAGTTCTTGCTGCTTCAGTGAGTTACATTCTCACCAACCTCATTACAACACTCACAGATGTTATGGCAGCCAGAATACCTCACTCTAGAGAATGGCCCATAATAACTAACAGGAACAGATGGGGAAACATTCTGGATGCAAATGCAGACTTGTCCAAAAGCTAGCGTGCGTGTATATGCACTTGTGCTCACTCATGGATAGAGGCTGCTAAGTTTCCTGCAGCTAAGAACATGAGGGAGATATTAAAGGTCGTTCTGCCTCTCTAGTGCTTGTTTTACATGGACCCTAAAAGAAAGGCTCCAGATCTACATCCATAAGGTCCTGAGCTCCCTTCAATCTTGGAAGAGCAAAGCATCACTGCCTCTTGGGTATCAAACCTACAACACTTCCTAGGCAGGCTATGGAACAGGGCATGGCAATGAGTTCATAGACAGTTGCCCAAGACATTTCCAGAAGCCCCAGGGCACCAAGGCACCCACTGATCACAATGACCAAAACCAACAGACATTCCTTCTATTGTTTGGGACTGACATCAACTTCTTGGATATGAACTGAGAAGGACTTGTGACCTCACACAAAATGACAGAAAATTGTGGCTTACACTTTTAGAATAATTACTGTTTAGGAGAGATGGTAGCTAATTCCACTCTACCACACTGTGGTCAGTGCCTGGATCAAGTTGATGCATGATACACAGAAAGGATCTTCTTGTCCCTGTAGTTCTGTCCAGGAGTCAAAGAGATGCCAGTAGCATGCTCTGCTCCAGCAGGAGAGTCTGCTTGCTTTGCCAGCTTGCAGAATAGCTGTGCCTTGGAAAAAGCAGCACTTGTCTGAAGAATCCACCACATCACCATGAAGCAACTTTCATTTTGATCTGGCCTCTGCCAGAGGCTCCTTTCTTGCAGCTTAGTCTGTCATAACTACTTTTCTTTTATGCATTTCTGAGCTGTCATTCTCCAATCACCTCACTCTGAATGCACTTTACTGGCAAACTTGGACAGCTTGCGCAGGTCAGCAAGGCAGTAGTGATTTCTGTTTCTTCCTTTTAGCACCATCTCGACCAACCTACCACCATGCTTTGTACCTCCCTCCCAGACAATCTTCTCTGCTCCCTTCTTCCAAAGCCTGTAACAGCCCTGTAGATGTTTCTTTCCTTAAGGGATTCTCAATTTCCAGCCATGTTTTCTACAGAGATAGAAGTTCCATGTGAGAAGAACGGTAGACATGTCTAGTGTCTCACTCCTCTGTGGAAGTCAGATCCTTCAACATACAAATCTCTCCGTTCTGCAGGCAGTGTAGAAATTAGAAACAAATGCTTTTAAAATCCTAATTAAATTGACAAATGCTCTTAAAATTCTAGCTAAATTGATATTCCCTAAAAGTCAAGGTAAAAAGAAGGCTTTCCTTCTCCCATGGGAGACAGGAATGTTAGAACAGCCCAACCACTTTGTACAGGTTAGCAATCTGATCTGCAGAGGCACTCTGCCAGGGCCTCAGAAGTTCAGCAACTCGTTCATCTCCAGAGGCTGAGCTTCAAAGAGAACTGTGATGTCTTCCCTCCAGCCTAGTTTCAGCACTTCACAGAAAACTAAAATGCTTTAAACTTTAACTGCAATTAAAGAGATGAGCAATATAAAACTACAGAGTAAAGGTAAAGGCATGGAAGCTGCAGGCTCAGTGCTACCAAATGTCTGCATTTCAATGGGCAATTAACAGCTTTCTGCATTTGCATTTACACTTTGGGAGGAAGCACGGGGGACTACAGGAAAGGGGACAAATTTATTCCTGATGGAACCTCCCTGGCTTTAGCAGTCTTATACCAGGAACTGAGAGGGCACTGAATATCTCTCTAAGTCTTCCAATGTCTGCCAGGACACACATTTTCTAGGGCTCTGTCTAGCAATGCCCTTAAGAGCACAGAATAATGTCACTGCAAATGTGAATACTCCCAGTGACTCACCTGATGCTTAGATGCTTTACTATCTCAAAACATGTCTGCACAGACTTTCATGACATCTTCACTTCTTGTAAGTGTCTGAGACTCTCTTGCTTCAGATTCAGTTTCTTATGCAACAATCAAACTTTAAAGCAATTAACTGAGATGATCTAGTGATAAGAATCCTGCTATTTCACCTGTGTTCTGTGTGCTAATTAGAAATACATCACCATTAGAAAAGCCAACAAACCAACACTCTTCCCGCCCTCCAAAAAAGGAGATAAAAATATATTAAAGGAAGCAGGGCCTGACTTGACTAAAAAGTGGAACTAATGGAGGTCTTATCTTAGTGTCTTATGTAGCTACCATATGTTGCTCTAGCTGACTGGAGAACCAGTTGCAAAGAGAGATATGGGGTGACTCAATGAAACACAGGCTTCTTCTACATCAGGAACGAAGGGATCCCGGATAAAGAAAAAGCCCCTCCCCACCCCACGCTCTTTTGTTAATACACTATGAAGCTGTGGGAGGTGAGGCACTGTTCTACAAAATCAGAGATTTTGGACCCATCAGCATAAAACCGGAGATAGGAAAGAACTGCTGCTTCCTCAGACTTCTAGGGAAATTTATGTGTTTCTTGACATCTCCCACTTGAGCAGCTCAAGCCCTTGAAGATGCCAACGAATAAGTACCTGTACAACCCTACTAAGCCATGAATATGTTCCTTTTTTCAAAAGAGAGCAATAAGATATAGAGCTGGATTAGAACCTAATGTGTTTCTTTATTCTCTTCTCTCTCCTCTTTATTGCCTTCCACTCTGTTTTTATGGTACTGGCAATCACAGAGGCAGAGCTTAAAACAGTAGCAATAGCTGGCAAAGCTAGCAAGCTCCTTGTAGTAAAGCTTCCCACACTGCTTGTCCAATATAACACCACTCCACAAGTAAGTACAGGAAAGGGGGTCCTGTCACTCTTCCCCTAAGAGAGCAGAGATATCCACAAATATTTAGTGGAGCATTTGGGTTTAAAATATTTAATTTCAGTTTACTCTTGTGAATAAATTGATTTATCTTCAGGGTGTAACGGAATGAATAGAGGGACTTATAATGCATTGAAGAACTGCATATAAAGAGACAAACATTCATCTTCTCTTAACAAAGGTAGATTTTCTGGACAGCACTGCAAAAACTAGGGACAATAAAATAAACAGATTATTCTGAATGCTTGTCTAATGCACAGGATGAAGTAATTCTGAATAGCACTTATAATATTGAAAGAAATATTCTTGAAATTCTGACTGGTTTTCTAAAATGTGTTGTTCATCCAGTAGTATCTTTATATGCCTCTTTATTTGCTTTATTTGCTGTATTCATGCTTCTCCTAGAGGTGCATCTCCATAACGCATTCATAATTTGTGTTTGATGCTCACCGTGGAAAATCTACACAAATACATGAACACTAGACTACATATTGCTATACACTCCGAAATTTGCCTGCTTTGTGCCATTTCCATCTCCACTGTATGTCAGCATGTGACTACTTGTGAATATATATTTGACATAAACCATCACACTGTCATGTGCCCTACCCCTCTCACCTTTCCAGGACTGTATCTTTCTGTACTATCACTGCACTAAGATGACATAGACTACCACCACTGATAATGTCAGTGTTATTAAATTAACACTGTGTTTAGAGCTGAACGAATAATGAAAAAAGTGCATTTTCACACTTTCGTATGTGTACAAAAAGACACTTCTGTATGTGTATTCCCAGAAAGTGTATTTCTGAGAACCTCAGAAATAAAAGCTAAGCTTTAATGTTAGAATATTCTCTCCTGCAGTCAGACATGAGTGGGTCTAGGGTACTGCTTGCAGACTTGCAGTAGGGCCTTCCTCATGAGGCTGAACTTCACCCACGGAGGGGAAAAATCATGATGAAAATTAAAAAACACAGATAAATCTGAGACTACTGCAACCTACTTGCCAATATTTTAGGAACAGGAAAGGAGGCAAAAAACGATTAATACATTATTCATTATTCCTGAGTGCTCTTACTGTGCTTTACACATAGACCTCTGTACAAATTACTCGACATGCACTTCAGATAACATTTACTGCCATGCAGAACTGTATTTTAGCTCCACTGCAGGATGAAGATAAATGTAACTAGTCCTATGGCTGGTTGGTTCCTGTGCTAAATCACTGTCAGAAGCTTTTGTAATATTTGAATATACCAATATTTAAACCTTCCTAAAGTATGAGTGATATCATCTATGATTCTATGATCTTGCCTTTTAAATAGAGAATTCTCCTAACTAGATTATATACTTTGTGTGGAATTGGAGAAAAGTGCTGAAAAACCAACTATCTCCTCAAGATGCTAATTGTTATGTTTTTAGAGCTGTTGGTGTGAACTCCTGATGTGAACCCCTGGATCACTTAATACCTGGAACAGCTACTGGTTTCCCCAGGAACCAAGCCTGGAACTCAGTGATAAATTTTGGACCCAGAGATCCAAAACCCACAATCACAACACCAGAACACTTCAATATTTCTAAAAGGGCAAAGATGTCTTTCTGGCTGTAAACTCTTGTTAGCTGGAACATTTTCCCCTCTCCTAATGATCACTCCTCTAGACCATCTTTATTTATTTTGATAATTGTAGGCTTGATTTCACCATTGTCTCTTAGATTGCAGGCTGATTTTCGGTCTGCCACCTGACCTTTAAAACCATCCACCTTGGCAAAGAATTCAGGAGCCTTAAGAGTAAATCTTACATGATACTAGAATCCATGCTGGGTTTTTTTCTGCCTCAAAACTCTGCCATATTGACAGTCTTCTAGTTCTCATTGTGCTTTTGTCATGTTTCATGCTTTTTATCCTGCGTTTGTATGAAATTTCTTCTGGGGGGTGAGTTTAAAGCAATTCCAGGGACCGAGCCAATAACCGAGGCTGCAGAGGACTCACTCTTTCACCATCTTAATTAAGCTTTTTTATAGAATGCTGACTGTCATCCATGTGGGAAAAGGCCAGCCTTGTGCTGCACTGGGGACCACCTTTGTAGGTTTGTTTCAAGAGCTTCTATTTGGACAAGTCAGAAACTAACCTCTTCTATGATCAACCCACAAGCTGAAAAACTCCTGCTAAATCCAGCCAGTGTCTTGGAGGTACCTGATTGCAGGAAGTGGCTCATATAATAGGCACACTTGTGTAGAATATACATACAAGGAAAAGGAAAAGGAAAAAGGAGGGCAGACTGGACTCTGGAAATGTCTGGCTTCTTCTCAGAACCGCTCCTGACACACTACTCCTTTGAAGGAGTAGAAAGGCTGGCAAAATCTTTTGCCTATAGCTGCTGGTGTTGACAATATCTACCTCTAAGGACACTGTTGAGTCTCCTGAAGCTGGCATGGGCTCCTCAGTCAAATGTTTTTGCCCAGAACAGTCTTTCAAGCACCTCTCTATCACAATAAGGTCATATAAATGACCACAAGGCTAGTGCTCTTTCATTTTCACTTTTTCTTTGGTAGGCAACCCTTAAAGTCTAAGTTCAGCTCTTCTATCCCCAAAAAGTTTCAGTTAAATCAATCTGCTTGTTTTAAAGTGTCCCCAACCCTCTTTGCCAGATTCTGTCCCAATCACAGTCATGTAACCTTCCTCCCCCTACACCAGTCTTCAGAAGATGGGGACCATAAACCCAGTACTCTCACTACCCAATTGAATGGTAGAAAAAAGTGAAAAGACAGGTATGTGTCTTCTAGTATGTGTTGTGCATTCAGAAGTAGCCCTCCTTCACTTCCAAAGATGCCCTCCAAGAAGCAAAAAAGTACCTTGTGATTTTAAATATTCTTAGCAGTCGAACACATCTCAACACCGAAATGCCCAGTGGTGACATGATCTTTGTCTCAACCAGAATTGTTTCCAGGATTCCTCCACACACAATGAAACAGTCAAAACGGTTGAAGAGGGACACAAAATAGGCCTGGAGACCAAGGCTATACATCTTCAGCAGCATCTCTGCCGTGAAAAGAGCTAGCAGCACCTTATTGGCAGTGTCTCATGAAAAGGAAACAGAAACACATTAATGAAACTTAGACAAAAAAGCGTCATAGTCAACCATCGATTCTTGCCTATGAGAATCTCTTTCTGGGAGCAATCTGAAAGAGCAATCTCAACTACACTTGGGTCAAAGAATGACCTTCACAGTGTGACCATCTCATTCTCAGAAATGTTTTACAAAGATGCTTTTAGTGCTCATATATTGCATATACAGCTGTGATGTATTATAAAACCACACAATCTCCATGGCAGGAATGTGCCTTCCTGTGCACAGCCTCCCCTCATATTTGTCATCTGCAGATGAGAGTGGGAACAGAAGAGCTGCTGTGATACCTGCTGTTGCTTAATTAAGCCTTTCAGCTGCTCCTACCTCCAGTGAGGATTTAGCTGTTCCGCAGACAGAGAAGAACTTTACAAATCATTTTTTCTTCCACATCTCTCCGGTAACTACAATTTACCTTAAATTGCTATTTCAGGGGAACCCTTGGAGGACCTGTGACTCCCAATAAATAAATGAGATAATATAAATATTAAATAAACAAATGGCTCCCTCATCCATAAATTGGAATTTCAACTGCTGCAGGTATATATGTAGTACAAGCTTCTGCTTTCACCTGCACCCATTGAAACTTTGTCTTGGTTGCAAAGTAGGAACCTATACATTCCCAGAAACCTCTCCTAATGTAGGCAGGTTTTTCACTGTGGAATTTAGTTTTCTGCGCAGGCAGAGGAGTATATTTGCAGCTGTGTAATACTCCTTTCCACTATGTGGCCATCTTAATGCGTCAGCTCCTCCCTCATTCCTCTTTCTTGACCCTGATGATAATAAGTAGAACCACCAGCCTCTCCTCACCTTGGACCTCAGTGAGCCAGTCTGGCTGGTTGTAGTGTTCAGAGGCAATGGTAAGAGTGTTGAGAAACACAAGGAAGATCACCAACCAGTAGAAAACATTGGACTTGACGGCAGCTCGGCATTTTCTTCTGCAGAATCGATTCCACCGGCGCCAATAGCGGCTTGAAAAAATAGAAAAGAAAAAGTACTTTTCAGAAGGGACTTCCTAGGTTATTGCAAATCTCTCTCTCTCAACTCTAGTCCAGATTCCTTGTCCATGGCTAGTACAGAATAACTTTAAAGTTAATCCAGAGAAATATTCCTTAATTTTTATCCAAGTCAACAGTTCTGGTCCTTTTTCCTTTAGGTATAGGAATAAAGTTAGCCCTAAACCAATATGAAACATTTAAGGATGAATGAACCTCTTCAAGCAATGTCTTAATCCGATTAAGACATCCATCACCACTACCCTGTGAGGTCTTTTAGTTCAATTCTCACAGAAATCATTATTCTTCTTGAATTTAATGCTTGTGGCCTGAAATGGGACCTGTGCCAGCATGAGGATAGCTAATAAAAAATGTTCACGGTCTACTATGGACCTTGGGATAAAACTCTAAAAGAGATGAGGTCATATAGAACCTCAGGAGGGTTTCCAATATTCATCCAAGTTCAGGACTAGGCTGAAATCTGAGGGCTAACTATGAACAGAAAAGCAAAATTCAGGGGACCTTGGCATCACATCTTCATGCCTGGAACTAAGGATACTATTTGCTAATCAACAGACCTTTTAAAAGTTTGCCTTCCGTGAACACATTCCCTTGTGTCACTGATTTCTGAGGGTAATTACTAACCACAGAAGATATTTAAAGCTAATTACACACCTCCTACTCTTCAGAATTTAACTTGCATAGCAACCAGTTTCCAGGCAACACTTGCCACTGTATAATAAATCTAATAGTTTTATATAGGTATTACATACATACAGTGGTGTGTGCATGTGTATATGCCTGTCTATAGACATACACATATACAGAACATCACAGGACAAAGAGGGAAATTGAGGAGAGAACTTCTATAGACTGATCTTCTCTTTGATATTATTTCCAGTGACAAATTGTGACCGTGCTGGAGCTGAGGGTTCAGCATCTAGATAAACTAATGCCAGGCAATCTGAACGTCGCACACTGCTCAAGAATTTTGCAGCAACCTTCATGACTTCCAAGTTGTTCTTAGCTATGCAATTTTTAAAAGCATCTAGTCTAGGTAATCCAAATATTTAGCCAGGCCTGTGTGTTTCGCAGGGGACTGTGAAAAGAAATAGTCTTCCCAACATCCCAAAAAATAACCACAACAATTAGGCATTTGTGTTGTGATCCCACACACTCTGCACTATTGATCTCAGATACTGTGCACTAATGTGTTGTGTATGTGACCATGTGATGATACAAGTGTTTTGTCATGTTTATAACTATACAGTAATACCTGGACAACAGGAATGTGACTGCTTATGCAACTCTGTACATATATGCATACTTATGGATTCCCAAATTTCCATTACTGTTTGTTACCTATGTAAGCTGAAGGACAGTTACTCCCTTGTCCTTGTTACCGTGAAAGTTAATTTACTTTTGTATAAAGTTGACTTCTAATTCTGAGTTACAGCTGGGCTCCTACTGAAGAGGTAGAAATGTGACCACAACAAACAAGTACCATGAAGTCATTCAGTCCTTCCAATAGGAACACATGAATGATTAGCCTGGGACTGCCTCATGTCAGCTGTACGTCAGCAGAGAACCAAGTACCACCAGAAAAACTCCAGGTCTCATATGGTGAGATGAAGCATTCTACAAATAATTTGTTGATGCAAACCTCATCAATTAGGAGATTTATAACCAAGCAGAATAGAGGACTGGAACAGAGTGTAGAAAACAACAACCTTGAAATGACAGGGTCGATGCTGGTGGACATAGGATGATTAGTCGGACATTTTTTCTTTTATATTTTATGGCTCAAGAGGTAGAAGGTAGCAATTTTTAGGTAGCAATTAGATATATACTCCTGAGTGAAATGCTCTCAAGAGTCCCTGTGCTTTACTTCTGTGTGAAACAGAGAAAATGAGTGTTGATGTGAAGGGAGATAAATAATTTCTGACACAAAGATACAGGAATAAATCCTTTAAAAATTACAGAAAAAAAAAACATGTAGAAATGAAGAAAAACATAAAAATCTGCTTTACTTACCTAAACTTAGATTTGGAGATTCGATGCCTGAAAGATAAGAATTGCCATTAAAATCTCTAAACCTGTTCTATCCCTCCCAAGCTTTTATGAGAACAGTAATGGAAAGAAACAAAATTAAGCACAATTAATTGTTAACAGATTTCTTCTTGAATCCCCTGTAAGTCACTGTACACATTGGGAAGGACTAGGATTTGCTGATATCCAAATTTTGTTGTTCCATTAGTCAGAAGCAAGAGTCATGCTGTGATGGGATCCTACCAGCTGTGGACATCAGAGAAATAGCCCTTCTCGTGGATAAAAGCCTGTCCTATGGCAGTGGCACTCTTCATCCGCGAATAAATTTACTTTTCAAGCCTGACTCTTTTCTTTCAGTCATTGGGTTTTTTTTTTTCTTATATGAAAATATGTATGACTTTATATACACAAACTTCTTGCTGTCACACATCACTTGTCTCTTCAGGATATATAAATGCACTATGTTATTATGGGAAAAATAATGTTTCTTTTTTTCTTTTTTTTTTTTTTTTCCCCCTAGCAATTCAAGCAAAAAGAGTATATGGTAGATATTTCCAAACTTATATTCTAACATTCATTATTTGTTGTTATCTATGCAAAATGGTTTGGATTCAATTGGGGCTGAACCACTGTGGATTCCGAGGCTATCAATGGAATTCCAGCTGTTAAGCATACCTGAATACTGGGCCCTGCTCCTCCTATGTATGATTAAATAATCATTTCCATGCAGCCAAATTCATTCACCTAAACTCATTTGCCTTATAATGTGAAGTCAAGGCAAAGCTGGAGTCAGATTCCATTTCTCTAATCACTACATGACACTGCTTGAAGTACAAACTACAGGAATTTTGTACCCTTTGTCTGTCTTTTAGCATTTACATACTGGTTCATAGAGAGACATAAAGTTATGTGGCTGCAAAAGCATGAGTCTGGGGTGATTTAGAAAGCCGTAAAATCTACCACAAGTAACAAAAGAAATGAGAACCGGAGTGACTACCAACGAGATATTTCTGTTGAGCTCAAGGATTTCTCAAGGTTCCCTTTTACGATAGGGAAGTGATCATTGTTGACAACAGTCAGGAAAGGTCTTCCTTACCCGCTTAAAAATGGATTTGCTGTTAGCAGACATGGGAGATGTAATTCTCAAAACACCAAACATTACTTTCTGTGGCTATGTTAAAAATGGCCATGTCCCTGTTTGACATCAGTTGACATCAGCTGCTGACAAGTAATCAGTGATGGGTCAGTTTCTCTACGTGGAAGAGATTGCAGTGATAGGAACATTTCACCAGCAGATGGTCCAAAAAAAAGGGGGGGGGGGGGGAGCTTCTACATTGAATACATCTTGCTGTGTCACCAGCAGCTTGTCTATGCCACATACTAGGCAGCAGTGTGGTTACAGACACACACAAGAACTCTTTCAGTAAAGAAGAAGTAATACGGTGGCAGAAGAGAATGCTAAATTTTGTTGCAGAGATAAGGCAAGCTTTATCAAGGAGAACTAGCAAATGGATGGGTCTACAGAGCACATCTTTCAAGTTAACACTATCTCAACAGCCTCACCAAAGAGAAGTCTTGCTTGAAAAACCCTACCTGCTGATTGTAATAGATCACATCTACAGGCATTGGTAACGAAGGATCAGACAAATCCAGGAGTTTAAATACAGGATGAAAGGAAACGATGAGCACTGGAAAGGAGCTGGTGAGGACATTCACAGGAAAGGGTTGGAAGAGAGAGAAGAGGGGAGGGGAGAGAGAGGGAGACAGAGACAGAGAGAGAGAATGCCATGACCCATATGTTGGAAGGTAGACGATGGGGAGTATGCAGCCCTCTGATGACCTCATGGACTGAAGGTTTCCCAGTATAAGGAGCTATGCAGCATTTAAGGAAACTTTTTTATTTATTTTAGCCGAAGAGATGTGGCAGGTGTAGTATTCAATATGCATGTCATAATTATAACTTTGGAGCATTATGAGTTGCAGCCAAGTGCCTTCACTGCTCCGACAGGTTGGCTAATAAGCCCCCCCACCCCGCTTCTCCTGTCTTACTGCTAAGGCAGAAGGCTTTATCACATGTGGGCGTGCTATATATAGAGAGAACAGGACAAGGAAGGAGGAAGAGATTTATATTTAGAGGTAGAATCCAAGAGTGAAAAGGAATTTTGGAAACATGAATTGTACAACAATTGCTTCTGCAAATACTGTGTCCTAATCCGAAGCACATTTTTCAAATGACCCTTATCATCAAGAATCTTCTGACGTCTGAACCCACTTAACTATGTCATATACAAACATGCTCTTATGCTATTGCTAGAGGCAAACGGCAAAAAAATCTGGATTTGGGACCTTGTTGTAGCTTTGTGACACTCCAGATTTGCATTTGCCTGGTATTCAATGTAGATCCGTTTATATATTGATGAGTTTAACTACTCATCTACTGCAACCCTTGAATCCTGGGAGCTTTATGTTGCTGTGAGAAAGAGGGCTTCCCCAGTTGCGGTGTACAGCTCTGGAATGTCTTGAGAAATTGTATTTTAAAATTATGGTATCGGAATCTATACAAAATCCATTTCAGAACACTACTAAGAGCTTTTATTATAGAAGCCACATAATTCAGATTATGTTTTAGAAAGAAACAGAAAAAGAACTTTACTGTTCAACTTGTTATCTTTTCAATTCTCTAGACTTCTTCTAATCTTACTTAGCTATGCACCAAATACATCCAGGATGATGAAATTTAAAGATTTTATCAGCATAAACTCAGAATAATCAGCATAATTCCTATGTGGTGAGTTATACCTTGTTCTTATGGATAAAGTCTTCATTTTTCTGGTTATGGTGCACACTAGAGAAGAGAAATCAGGCACTTGCAAAGGCTGTGCCAACTTTGGTATCAGAGATTGAGGAATTTTTTGTAATTATACACACAACAAATGAGAACTCTGGAAGAATACTGTAGGTCTCCAAACACGATATAAAAGCCATGTTACTGGATATTGATTTACTACACGTGACCATGCAATTATTTGGTCACAAAAACTTACAAAATCCTTTGGATACTACTAAAAGCTCTCAGAAGAGCACTGACCCAGAACATTCTCTTAGAATGCCTCTTTGGAGATACAATGTCACGTCCAAAGAGCTGCATTGTGCTCATCAGAGATTTTAGCAGTGTGAGAGCAGAGTCCTGTTGCGATATTGATTCTGCTTTGGTGCAATATGGTGCATTCCTGCTGTTACTGTTCAACATACACAACAATCTTTGGAAAGCACTTTTCCCCTCTCTGTCTCCCTGCTGAAGGAGGAAGTCAGAGAAGCATTTCATCACTTTGAGTCAAGATGCTGGGATCCTTGGGACAAAAAAAAGAAAAAAAAAAAAAAAAAGAAGAAGAAGAAAAAAAGAAGAGATGGTCACCCAGGGTCCTTTTCCACACATTCGTGGAACAAGAACATATAGTAGTGACATGACATTTCTAGGGATGTACGCTTCAGTCCTGGTAATCTCAAAGCCTAACTGAGTGGTAGGGCTAAAGTCTATCCTTAGGTATAGCTCTAAGAATGACAGTGAAGCACCTGCTCTCCCCTGTACAATGCAGTTAACACAGGGCAGTTGTATAGGGGTGCACACTGAGGAGCATGCTGATCTGAACGGAGTGAAGCAAATCGAGAGAGATGTGGTTGCTCACCAGCAGCAATAAGGATCTAGAAAACCACCCTAAGAGAACTGGATATGTCTTGCTAAAAATTGAGGTGATTTGTTATCCAACAGGCTTTCTTACAGGTTGGGAAAAGATGACACTCCAGAATCCAGTCGATAATCCTGTTCTCCCTGTGTCAAGTCACAGGTAAGGCCTCTCAGAATTTAAAGTGGGAAGAAAACTCTTCCTCCATAAGGGCATACTACCATCTTTTAGACACGTATCTAGGGCTGACTGTGAATATCAAAAGCAATATGACTATAATAATGGGAAGAGTAATGGCTGAGGCTGACACCAAGGGGTTCATCCTGCGTTTTTCCTTCTGAAGTCAGCAGTAGTTTCAGAGCTTTTGGCAGAGCTTTCTTGCATTGCTCCTGATGAAGACTTTGGTCTTCATGGAGGGACACTATCTTCTCATTAGCAGAAAATCAGCATCAAAAGTAGTGAATAACAATGCAAGTAAACTGATTCTTCCTCTACCACCAGCTCCCATGCCGATTGTTGCAAGAGCTGCATAGGAATTATTTTGCCAGCCAGAAAGACAATAAGGGAAAAATCATTGATGGTTCAGCTGCCAGGGAAAGCTTTCATTGTTCATAGGATGTTCAGGACACTGGGTTTCCAGTTGGAAAGTTCATATTGCTTTAACCTGCTGGAAAGCACCTCCACGGAGAGGGACCTGGGAGTCCTGGTTGACACTAAGTTAACCATGAGTGAGCAGTGTGCCCTCGTGGCCAAGAAGGCCAATGGCATCCTGGCCTGCATCAGGAGGAGCGTTGCCAGCAGGTCAAGGGAGGTGATTCTGCCCCTCTACTCAGCTCTGGTGAGGCCGCACCTGGAGTACTGTGTGCAGTTCTGGGCACCCCAGTATAGGAGAGACGTGGAGCTTCTGGAGAGGGTCCAGAGAAGGGCAACCAGGATGATTAAGGGAATGGAACATCTCTCGTATGAAGAGAGGCTGAGCGAGCTGGGCCTGTTTTCTCCGGAGAAGAGACGGCTCAGAGGGGATATGATTAATATGTATAAGTTCAGGAAGGGAGAATGCAGGGAGGAAGGGGACAGGCTGTTCTCACTGGTGGCCAGCGATAGGACGAGGGGTAATGGCCACAAGCTGAAACACAAGAAGTTCCGTCTCCAGGTGAGGAGCAACTTCTTTACTGTTAGGGTGACAGAGCAGTGGAACAGGCTGCCCAGGGAGGTTGTGGAGTCTCCTTCTCTGGAGGTCTTCAAAACCCGCCTGGATGCCACCCTGTGCCACATGCTCTAGGTGTGCCTGCTTGAGCAGGAAGGTTGGACTAGATGATCTGTAGAGGTCCCTTCCAACCTTAAATATTCTGAAATATTCTGAAATATTCTGAAATATTCTGAAATATTCTGAAATATTCTGAAATATTCTGAAATTAACGTTTTAACCCTCTTTGGTTAATGTAATTGAACTGTCCCCCAAATACATGGAAATCCTGGCCAAGGTGAAAATGCTAAACGGTTTATTGTTTCAGTGAAAGCAGATCATTTTAAGCTCTCTTTCCTTTATAGTGCAAGTGCTTCAGTTTTCTAATGTGGCTCCATGGAACATTAGTTGCCACAAATGTCTTTCTTCAGTTAATACATATGCATAAAGGCAAGTTCTGTTGTGGCACTTCAGATATGTAGGTTGTATCACAAAATTAACATCCTAGTTTTACCGGAAGATTACATACAATGACAGTCTGCACTGGATAGACTTCTTATTATAAGCAACAGCTTGTCCTCAGTAATCTAAGACCTGCAGAGCAGTAACCACAAAGGCTCAAACAAATTGGGAAGTCCTTCTTTATTGGAAAGTCTTGGGTATAAGGCTATTCTGTATACAGAAATCCATTACTCCCAGGTCTGGGTTTATCGTATGGATAGTTATTGTAGAAGAAATATATTTCCTTATATCAGTGACAACATGGATTTAAAGCTGTGACATGTTAGAAGGTAAAGTTCCATTCACAAAGGTCGTCCTTGAGGATAAAAGCTGCTGCGTTTCTAGTCCAGGGCGGATGTCAGTGCAGCACAAGGCAACATCATGACAGGGATGATACAGCGCGGGAGCCATAGGATGCTCTTCAGCCTCCTGCACAATCTTACAACCTCCTTTCCAAATGCACTGTATCAGTAAAGCCTGGTAAAGCTAATCCCTGTCTTAGGAAAGCGACTGCTGTCTGCCCCAGCTCTCCCAGGAGCAGCAGCATCATACCAGAGATGAACATGATTTTTTGTTGGTTTTGATTTAGTTCTAAAAAACTAGATTTATGTGGTAAGCAAACAGAGAAGCCCTTTTAGATTCCTCCTGAAACTCCTTCTGCTGGTTTGAAGACTGGCATCGCTCCAGAGCGCACAGCTGAGGAAGGCAGCTTCTATAGTATCGATACTATGGAAGTTAAAGCTTCTTTGGAGACAATTCATCAGTAGGAGATAGTTTGTCTTTGAGAGGTACTCTCCTGATCTCACATAGCATATGTGTCTACGAGAGCTGAGAAAGGCTGTCAGGGAATATCTCCAGTTCCAAAAGAGATGCTTGAGCTTGGTTTCTCAAGTCGATCTTTCTGTCATTCACAGATCCTTTCAAAGCTCTGCAGCTTTGTATAAGAATAGAAAGAACTGCCAGTAATTCTAATTTATCTTCAATATAAATCTTTTTTTCTTTTAGATGCCTGGTCATTTTCTCCTTTTATCATGTGCACATTCTGATGGCAAGGTCAGCCTGTTCCGTGATGGGGGTTAAATACTTTTCCAGCCTGATGCCACTAAATAAATAAATATACTTTGACTTAAAATCTCTCCATTGCTTCAGTCATGTCTAGTTGCAGCTTGCCCAGTGCAGTCTATGCTGACTAGTCTATTTATTTCTCTCTAAGAAAAAAAATGTGTTTATAGCAAGAAAATGGGGACTCAGAGCCATTAGGTGATGATACAATACATGAAGCTCATCAAACCGACAAACTTGTCTGGCCATTTCAATTGCAAAAACAAAAATCAGAGGGCGGATGACTGCTTAAAAGTCTGGGCCTAATTTTTAGTCGGAGTAAATCAGCATGACTTAACTACAATTATTAATGATCACTGAAAGTTATATTAGATTAGGAAATTATTTGAAAAGCTCAGGCAACTTCACACAAGATTCATTCCTCTCCTTCAGCAATGGTGAAATCACCAGGACCACTGGGCCAATTCTGATGTTCTTAGGTTCCATACAAGACAAATACTTAATGCAGTTCTGAAATACTCACATTTTATATGTTCCAGGAGGAACTTTGGCCTACAGGAAGTTTAATGGAAGGCTCAGTGAGAAGAAGAGGACTTAATACTTTCAGAGAAATGCAAGTTCTTCCTGGTTTCTCTGAGTTTGATACAGCAAACGAAACAAACCAGAAAAGAGTCTAGTCCTTAAAATTCAGGGCAGATTTGAATTCATGCTTCCTTGAGGAATTTTCAGGTCCACAGATCCGAAGCAGACATTTTATAAATGCTTAAAGGAACCATCGGCATAATTTGTGTTGAAGTCCAGACTTTCAAACACAACAATACAGTCATTTATTTTCCTGGTTGGAAGAAGCCCATCCATCTTTCTGAGATGCAAAGCAATCTCAGTGGGGCCTTGAGAATGCAGACTATCCTTGTGAAAGGAGTAAAAACCTCATTCTCAATAACAGATTCCAACTCCCTACTATATGCTACCTATTTTTGAATGAAGTGGCAAGAGGCAAGGAAACTGCTCATCTCCCTGAACCTCACACGTACTGCTCTGGTGAAACACAGCAAGGTACATGGATACAGTGATCACTGCGCCAGACCACAGTTCTGTCATTCTTTTGCGGACACGTTGGTCTATTTTAAGTAAAATCCATTCTAAGCCATGATTATGTTTAGAGTTGGGTTTAACTTCATTTCTCCTGGCTACATTCCACCTAAAATGAGTTTTACTTGCCAAAATTCCCCATACAGTCTCAGTGCAAAACAAGCCATCCCTCATACAACTTCTTATATATTTGTGCCTTTTCTACTTGTATTTTTAAACACCTATCACATCTAACTGTTAAAATGATTGAACCCTAATGCTGTGAAAAAAAACCCTGCACATAAAGTCCATTAAGTGCTTTAGGACTCTTTCGAAGTAAGGACATTAAGTGAATGTAAGCTGTAATATTAAAAATATATGCAACTTTATAGTAACAGTTGCCATTGTTGTTGGCACTGTGCAGCGCCAGGGCATCCACTGTGTTGTAACTGTAGACATGGTTTCCAAATCGGATCCAACTTCCAGGAGTGGTTACCTATCCAGCTGCTGCCTCCCATACTGCCTCAAGAGCATATGCATCTTGGTGGGGTGCTAAGAGGAGGGCTACAGCTGCCTGCCTTAGCACTGTGAATAGGCCTAGTTTGGTTCCTTCAGAAAAGAGTTCATTACCTAAACCATAATGCCAGACTCGGCAGGTAGACAACAACTGGCAGGTGATGGGGAGCCATCGTAAATAATTTCTCAGAGGGTTCATAAGCTGACACTTGCGGTAGAGCAGTCTGAATTTACAACGTATTCTACATATATCTTGTAATGCAGATAAGATCTCATTCTCCTCTTCAATTCGTAGAGGCGAAGGCCAAGGGGTGTGTTGAGGAGACACAATCAAGGCTTACAAGGTCATGAAAATGTTCTATAAGCTGAATGCAGAACTGGTGTTCACCGGAATCACAGCACTCACATTCCTCTCACAGAAGAAGAGGGCATTCAGTGAAACTAGCTGATTAGCTTGAAACAGATAAAGAAAATACCTTTCTACACAGCAGGTAGTGAATTTTGGAAACTTGTTTTCACAGAAAGTTGTAGGTGCTGAAAACATCAGCATAATCAGCCAAATCCTTGGACAAGCCTATAAATGTCTACTAAAATGAAAAGGCAGAAGTGTGCCCCCTAACATCTCTAATTAATAGACATGAATTTGTGGGCAGTAAAAGGGGAGTGGAGCAAAGGAAATTCCCAGGCTCACTGACTTGCCCTATTGTCACTGCCAGGACTTGAATACTGAGTGAACGGGACCACAGCTTTCACTGAAGACATTTCTTAGGTACTTATGATCAGCAACTCAGCAGCACTGAAGAGCTCCAAGAATGTCCCTGGGACAAAACAGTTCCTCAAAATACTCCAAGCTCATACAAGTAATACCAGTAATGTGCTTAGTCCATCTTCGAAGGAAATTTGGAGGGTTTAACACATTCCCTCAAAGCATAAGGTCTGGTCCTAAGTCATGCGAAAGAGAACAAAATAGTCATGCAAAAGACTCCGCTTGCCTATTGCTTTTTTCAGTGCTACTAGAAAACATAACATATGCCATATAGGCATATATATATTCCATATAAGCAAGTATAAATGCTTCCATAAGCTTGGTTTCACACATTTTTGTGTGCCCAATGCATACAATGACACAATTACAACGAGGCCTTACTCCCCTGCTAATGTATTTCTCTGTTACTACAGTGGTGTGTTCAAACTTCAAAGGGGTAATTTGGGCTGCAGGACGGGATTTACCGTGAGTATTTTTCTATTAGAAGACTCTGTAAAATGTACAAGTATCATTGGAGAAGTTAAAATAGAACAGTTATTTCCACTCTTTGGTCTACATATACTTGATTTGATTATCTACCACTATAGAGGTTTTTTTTCTTTTTTCCACATAAGAACACCATTTTCCATCAGATATTCTTTTAGCTATTATGCAAAACCAGCTTTGCTTATTCCGAGAATTCTCTGCTTTAATTTTATCAGTGTAATTCCAGAGTCTCCCCACTAAGATCCAGACTGAGTTCACACTGCAATTAAGATAAAGAACCAGGATCAGTAGATCTTCTGCATTCTTTCCTTTCCCCCATTGTACAGTTTTCTCCCTTTAAAAAAAAAAATGAGATTTGCCCTGGCATTAACCCTCCCAGCTCAGCCCAGCCCCTACACCCAAACCCCTGTGCATATGTACTCACGCTAGCCTAGCACCGCAGTTTTCGCCTTCAATATCTGCTCCTGGGACGTTGTCTGTGTTCACGGACTCGGTCTCACTGGTGGGCATGCTCACTGTAAGAGTGGAAGGGAAGAAAAAGAAAGGGTTGGCCATTAGAACCCAAGCACCTGGTAGTCACATGTGGCAGTGAAGGAACTGGCTTAATCAAAAGATACCCAGCTGCAGTTCTTCAGTAATAAACAATATGCTGAGCAGGTCTGCTGTCTCCCTGCCCAGGACAGGCTGGGCAGGCGGAGCCTAAGAACTTGTGCAGGTTACTCGAATGTTAAGGAAAGGGGAAGAAGCAGCTGCTGTCTTTCTTTGAGAGTCAGTTCCTGAAAATTTGGAAAATAAGAACCATTGAAAATTAGAGAACTTAGGAAAATCAACAAAGAAGTTTGACTCAATGGAACACTTAAACTTTACTTGCCCAGTCAGATTCTCACTCACTGCCCTTCGCAGCCTCTTTTGTGAAAATGTGGAGAGCAAATAAAAAGCACCAGATTTACAAGTATTCACACAAGTCTTCTGTTTATCCTGTTCATATTTGGTTACCTGTTTATGTGGTACCTGAAAGCAGGCACCACATAAATAATAGTGGTTGCTCATCTGCCACATACTACTTATTAATGTGCCTCAGCCTTACACTTAGAAACTGAATAACGAAAGACTCATTGTGGAGGTTTTGTTTAGAAACTAAGAAACTTATCAACTAAGAACTGGGAAGAATCTCCTAGGCCTTTAGAGAAATGTCATAAGGCAACAGATGAAAGCAACTTTAAGCCTGGACCTGTCTCCTCTGGATACAAAGAGCTGTCAAAAATTATGTGCTATCAAACCCTGAATATTTACTCTTACGTATATATATTATCCACCCCCCATGCCCCAATTTTCTTTCCACCAGTTATTCCCAGGTTTCCTATACTCCATGTGGCAAGCTGTAACAACTCCTCAATATAAAACCATCCAAATAGAGTAGGACAAGGATAACATTTCAGTATATGCATCGTCTTTCTCTCCCTGTGCCTTTTCAAATACACACATACAAAAATTCCTCCTTCAAACTGAACAACAGAAGAGTTGGGCAGACCTCTCAGACGCCTGGTAGAACTTCAGAGCAAGACACGCAATAGCCGCTGGCTATATATCTCAGATGAGACTTGACAACATGTACTATTAGCTGTTGGAGACACTTTTAATAGCTCCTCAGAATACATTATTCATTAATATGAGCATATCTGTTTGCGTGTCCCTGGAGCAAAAGGAAACAATGGAGAATAAACAGGCCCTGCAGTTCATAAGGACAAGAGTCTAATGGGCCTTGTGATCAAGTCTTCTTTTAAAAGCTAGCAAGATATCAGGATCCCTCCACAGAGGTCATGCGTTCCCGCGTTGGAAACATCACTGTAGAACTGCCTCTCCAAAATGTACTATATTTCTTTTATCTAATCCCCACAATGCAAGTGTTTATAAAGTGCCTCTTCAGAAATCAAAAGTTCTTGTACTATGTTAGGACCAGATGAAATAATGGACTCCCTTGCACTCTCTACACAGCCATGAAATACTCTAATGGTGCTTGATGCTTTACAAAGAGTAGATGTTTTACTTGTATTACCTGTTGGCAAAACCAAATTACAAAATCAACTACATTCATATTTTGATGCATAAGAAAGAACAAATTTTAAAAAAAGAAAACAACAATACTTATGATTAACATTTCCTGTCTAAGCTCTTTAGGAGAAAAATTTTATTTGTCAAGTCATCTTCAAAGATGAGGTAAAGCACTTTCACAACATATTTGAGCTTGTTTGCAGATGGAAAACAATTCTGAAGACGTTAGCGAGAAACTGATTTACGGAAGAGCTTATTATCTTGAGTGCATGAAGAGGACACTGCACAAGCAACAGAAAAGGCGAGACATGAGCATGCACAAATATATAAAGATACATCATTAAATGTAGGTAGGTATAGAGATAAACAAACACACACAGTGACACACAGTGTGGACACAGAGTGCAGTGGAACATTACCATGGGTTTCTGTGGAGTGACTAAACCAAGCAAACTTCCCTTTCTTCTTATCAGGCAAGTCAGCTGGAGTGCTTCCTTTCACAGACAAGATGATCAGTGTCAAGTACCAGGAACAAGACATCAACAGAGAACATGCAGCCAGTGATAGGCAAAAGAAAAACAAAAACAAAGAACTCAGCTTACACATGACATCCACTTCTGTCTGAAAACTTCATCATATGAATTAAAAATACAGAAGGAAGGGTATATGGAAGTATGAAATAACAGGGATCATCAGAGCACAGTTTTTCTTTCTGTTTCTGATTTACATCTGAATATTTAGAGCATTGAGTTGTTAATTAAAGCTATGGGCCAAATGCTTTTCCCAGTCATATCAGTAGTAAATATATTTGACTGTCTGATGTACTGAAATCAATGAGACCAAGGCAATCACAATTTCTCCCTAAGTTATCCCTTGTCCTTCAAGGCCAGAATGAAGATCAGACTATTTCTGAATGAGATTTCCTGTATTCTTTCCTAAATTGCTCCAATATCTTTCCTAAATTGCTCCAATATAAAGAAATTCTTCTAATACTGGCAGAACTGCTAATGGAAAGTTGTTGGTGTCAACACAGGTCTGTGTCTTTCCCCATCTATAGAGATTAACAACCCTATAGAGATTAACAACCCTCAGCGTGTACTCAGAGGTACACTGCCTTAACTAAACTAGGATATGTCCAAACTATATCTCATGATTTCCATCTGAGTTTATGTTTGGCATTTACCCTCTGGTGTCCTTCTGCTGCATGGCTTGTCACGGCTTTAGATAATGCTGATCCTCTGCTTATTATACACAGAGGTCATGAGCCCCCACAGATCAGAGGTGTATGCACAAAGCTGTCTTAGTGCTTGCTTTGCATTTGCCTAATCTTACTGCTCCTGCAGTAAGGCCAAATTGAAGTGTGGGATGCAGGTGCAGCAGCACGTGGGCTGAAGAGATTCCTGCAGTTCAGGCTGTGAGCTCACCGTCATTCTTACTGGCATTCATTACCCCGAGTACATAATGCATTGTTATAAAATGTTAAGGACAGCAAAAAGCATTAAGATAGGATCAAGCATAAGAGGAATCATGGGCTAGAAGTTAAAGATCAGGAGATTAGGACTGTATTTCCAAACATGGTATGCACTTAACAGGCCAATCATTTATTTTTCTTGACATCTCCCATCACCTTCAATACCAAGGGATAATCACGTGCACTGATGCTGTGAGCTTCCTTCAGGCCAGCTAACAAATCCTAGAAACAGAAGACGCTGCAGAAAAGGTAGAACTGAATATGAAAGGGAGCAGAGCAAGTACTGCCCAGATGGCATCCTTATCTGCCTGCTCTCAGACACAGACCTTGCACCCACATCCAGGCTTCAGTCTAGAAATAAGGCAGGCATTTTTTGCAGTCAGGGTAATCAATTACTGGAACCATGTACCAAGAATGCGGGTGGCAAATCCACCACAGGAATGTTTTAATCAGGACGAGATGTTTTCTTAAGTGGTGGGCTCTGATCCAGCCCAGAGTTATGTCTGGGACCACGCTATACACACTATGCAGTCACAGGAGCCACTTCCTCCTTGCCATTTGGGATACAGAGACAAAAGCAGGAAGGGGATAAACGCATTTTCCCTCCACCTGGGCACAAAGTGACTTAGTGCTAGAAATCTTGGTGCCTTGCCTCCTGTCCCATGCATGCTCAATGCTTCCCAAACTCCGCTGCATGCATCCAAATCAGAGGGTTCTGCAGGGCTGACATCGTCTCTGAGTGTCACCTCCCACCTCCCTTCTTCCCTGCCTTGAAGCAGACCAGTGAATCCTTCACCTACCACGGACAGCACACTGGGGACCTGAACTGCAGCACAGCTGAAACAGGGACTGATCCCCAGTGCCCAACAGCCGATCTTTGGTCAAGTCACCAAACACCTCTGCTGGAGACAGGTGACTCTTTAAATGCAGAGAGCCACTTAGCCCATGGCCCCTACGTGTAAGTGAGGGGAAGCTGACAGGAAAAGGCCCATTGGGAAAATGTGTCACGCAGTTGGCCTCTGCCTGCCTGCCCTAGCCCCACCAGTGCAGCTAGCAGGACCAGGCAGCACCAGAAACCGGCAAGAACAGCACAGTTCCCTTACAAAATGTTAGGTGTTTGCCTAATTTAAATGTCAATTTCTTTTGGGGGATTTATCCTTACTCAACACTTGCACGACTTACTCTGGTTGATGGTAATTCCAAAGTGTTTGCACTTCTCAAATTTCTCCACAGTGTGGCTCATTTCTGAATACAGACTTCTTCTCCTGGACTATTTCAACTCTGATTTCATATTACCTACATAGCATTCCTGCAGCAACTCAAGCGACAAGAAATGCTATCTAGCAATTTCCCTAAAAATAAATCTTAGAAATGCTTCCTGTAATGTCAGTCCTAGCTCAGAGACCCAGTAGACAGAAGTAAGGACAAAGAGTCTGAATTCTGTGACTGGTTAGATAGCACCGATGTACAAGACCCTTGGAGAGTCTGCCTTCCCTGTCACTGGCATCAAGCACTGATACAAGGTCTACTCTTGTACTAACATATGTCCCTCCTCCAACCAAATGCCCCACGGACATGCAAATAAATTATTAGACAGCAGATTGCCAAGAGACAGACAACTACTCAAATAAAAAGCTAGCACAAATGAATATCCTTCTGTGCAGCCCTGAGATAATTTTTTCCTTTACAGACTTAGTGAATAATATTTGCTCCCATTTCAGGTATATCACTCCCACTGCTGCAGCCTGCATTTAGGACACTTTTGCCTTCACACCAGTGGAAGTTGCACAATTGAATTTTTCAAATTTATCCCCATTAATTATAATGTTACCACACTTACTAGTTGCTGAATCTCAGTCAACCACTGTAGCAGTTTAACACCCAGAGAGGTAGCTGCACAGGCAGAGGGTGCCCACACCCGCAACTGTAGATAGAGCATTTACTTTTCAAAGATCTTAATGGGACAGATGTTCCTAAAATGAGTTTGCATTA